CACTCCCGCATCGTGCAACAGGCACATGAGGAGTTTGGTCCTGCATTCGATGCTCATTTTACTTACCGGAGGGGAGGCAGAGAGTATGTCATGACCAAGCCATCCGCTATTGCAAAAAGGTACACCGAGTTGACAGGCAAAGGTTTGGTGTGAAGGTGTTATAGATAGGATTTTTCTTTTGCGCAGTACAAATTTTACGAGAATGGGAACCAGTAATACGAGTATCAGTGCCTAATGGTCAACAGACATGCAACTTGTTGCCATGACTCAGCCGGCGGCCCACCAAAGTTGAACTAACACCACATTTTACTCAGTCCAAGCCCTGACAACAAAGTTTTCTATCAACCTATGGCTGCGACGGTTGACTCCATGCAATGTTTTCCTGGTTTATGCGGGGTGCTTTCAGGGTCTGCTACTGGCCTCGAGATAGATGAAATTGAAGAGGATGTTGCAGCGGAACAAGAAACTATAATTGAGCCCGGCGCTGGTCTGAAAACGGCGAATACTGGGTCAATTGATACTCCTGATTTTGTTAAATTGCAGATGACGCTCATGGAGGCTTCCAAGGGTCACAGATGGCACGGATGCTGAATACAAAAGGTGGATGCTTTTCAGCAACTCACCTGACGGGTCACTTATGCTCTTTGCAGGTTAATGAATTCATGTGTCTCATTTGCTATCAGGATCCGCCTTCTGGGGCCGGATGAGGAATTCTTCAGCAAGAGACCACGGGCTGATGCTCCTTTGGTAATTGTAGCCTGGATTATGAACGCGTGAGTGCCGCTTGGAGCCGATCTGTCGTTCTGATGCTGACATTTCATGGAAGCTGCGACTCCATTAATCTTGACGGCACCACAAAGCTGTGTTCCCAGGAACGGGGGACATATGGACATGCTCAGAAAATGCGAGCCTCAATGACCTATGGCTTCGGTAAGCTGAAGGGTCTCGGAAACATGCCATGGCATGAATCCGATGTTGGTGCCACCATGGTTGGCAACCCCTCAATCTCGGTTGAAGTTTCATCTTTCATGTGTTCGCTGCGGAGACGCAAGGTAGTGCTTTGTGATTTTGGCTGATTTGAGGCTGATCAAACTGTGCTAGGTTCAAGCTGGTGAAGTTGCAAACAGTGCTCGTGCTATAACATCGGTGAGTCACGTTGAATATTTTAATATTTCACTGGTGAAAATTTTACAACTCCTGCAGGAGATATTACTCAAATTGTACCACCACAACCGCCTTCCTGAGAACTGGACTGTCCAGCCGTATCAACCTGGCGAGCGAAAACCTGCAGGAGGCTCTCGTACTTCTGACAGCCTGGACAACTGGGGTGGTGGGCGGGTCCGAAGGCTTCTGCATGCTGCATATACAGTGGCATTCTTATGTATGTTGCGGTTTGATGAGGTCCTCAAGATACAGGTTCATGATCTTCGTGTGGCAAACAATCAGGTTGTGTTGTACCTCCCCTTTCGCAAGACCCACCAAAATGGAGGTCTGTGTTCAATCTGTATTTAAATTGCGAGCTGTGATTGAGATATATGATTTTAGATATTAAACCCTTTCATCTCTGGACCCTCTCATCTAATGAAGCCCATCTCTGTCCTACGAGAGCACTTGCCGCTTGGTTTGATGAGTCCCAGATAACGACGGGCTATGTTTTCCGAAAAATGGCATCTGGTGACCGGATAGCAGTGGCAAATAACCCTATGGTGTGTAATTAATGTGTACCTCGATGAAAACAGCTAAAGGTGCCCTTCTAGTCTTCAGAACAGTTCTTAGAGCTGTTTCGAAACAACCTTCTCGACATAAATATTGACCCTGCTCCTTATGGCACTCACTCGTTTCGTCGGGGGGGCTGCCAATATTTGCATATAGAAAGGCGGTGGCCCTTGAGAAGGATTTGTGAGTGGGGCGGGTGGAGCACTGAATTCACCAACATGACAATAGTCAAGTATCTTATCTCCTCGAATGATGACCCTGCAGAGCCAAGGGACCATTTTTTCAACCCCAACCAGCGCCCAGCTGTCAAGTGTCCGCAGTGTGGCCGATGCTGCTTATGTGCTTGATTGCAGTAGGGCAAAGGGTATGAACCTTGACATCACAATAGTAGCCTCGCTTCCTGTTGTACCCGAGACCAAACCAATAGTAGTAGTTCATAATACAGACGAGGTTTGCTGGGCTTCCTGCCGCGATGAAAAGGTACTGTCAGAGAGATTCAGAGTGGAATGCTTGACGCACGCAATACTGATGCTTTTATCTCCATCAGCCTCACCTAGTGCTGTCGCATTGTCTCGAACTGATTCTACAAAGACCATACTCCATGTCGCATCTACCACAGACACCAAAATGAATATGATTTCAGTATTAAGCCGAAGAGCCGCTCGCACCAAAATACCAACGAAAGTATTACATCCCAAGCTCACATAAACCGCGCTCAAGATCAAGAACCTACAATCCCTCGCCATACTTCCCCATCACCCCCCTCAATGCCGCCTCATTCCCAAACCTCGGTTCAAAACACGCAGCAAACGGCTTAGGATGCACAATAACACCATCCACAAACCCGACTCATCAATTGGGTTCTCAGGGTCCTGCGTGATCTTGAAAGACCACAAGAGGAGCGCAGCGTTAATGAAGATCGAGCGGTTTGCTATATGTTGTCCTGGGCAGATTCTGCATGTTGCACGTCACATTTTAGTATGTAGGCAACTGGGTTTAATATCAGGGACAAGTACCTGCGTCCAAAACCGAATGAAGGGAACTTGAGGTCGTCCCGGATTTTGCCGTCGGTGTTGAGCCACCTCTGAGGATCGAACTGGTCAGGGTTGGGGTAGACGCTTGGGTCACGGGAGATTGCCCTGTTGAAAGGTGATCAGTACAATATCGCATAGAATGGATGTTAGTCGTACCAGTGGTTGCCAAAGACGATAGCACCTTCTGGGATACACGTATTCTTCTGCTCAGGCAGTTAGAACAAAAAAACATGACAGAGCACTGAAAAACGTATGTATGGGATATCAGTCAGCGCACGGTGTGTGAATCCGAGAGTCGTCATGGGTCTCCAGCGAAGACACTCCAGCATGAACGCTTCAATCTGCGGGAGGGAGTTGTAGTCGTCGAATGTGGGAGCTGTAACAAAGTTGAGATTTCACTCAGATGAATAACGATATTCGACTTACCTCTGTCACGACTAATGACGACGTCCAGTTCTTCTTGCACTTTCTCCTGAGCCTTGGGATAGCATGCAGAAGCCATGACGACAACCATAATCGCAACAGCAGTCGTGTCCGAACCGACGCCAAAGAGCGACCCAGCAAGATAAGCCATTTCTTCGTCCGAGAGCTTGTGCGAAGACTGGTTCTCAAGAAGATAGCGAGCAAACGAGGGACCAGCTTTGCTGGTCGCCTATGAAGAACAGTCAGGTACTGATGAGGAAAGAAGTGGAACCAACCAACCAATTCTCTCAAAACACGATCAAGCTGGTCATGGAAGAGCTGACTCTCTTCCCTTCTCCACTGCTCCAACTCGGTTCCATATCCCGGAACGTATTTTAATATCGGGTAGCGCTCTACCAGTAATGCACCAGGTCGCATGAGCATCTGGAAGCGCTTGAGCATTTTCTGGATGACGATGATCTCGGGGGGTCGACTTGCCATACGTGACACGCAAGATGATGGAGGCGGTGTAGCTTGAGTTGAATGCATAAGTGATCATAAAACAACACATTGAGTGCAACATACCGATTCGCAGCTGCTTGGTGTCCTTTAGGGTTATTAAGGATATCGAGGATGACATTACGGGCAGCATTCATCTGGATTGGCACATAGGATTCTGCAGCTTTCGCTTGAAGGTGAGTATGAGCCGCTCTGAATCACATAATTTCAGTAAAATAGGTCGTTAAGAGGAGATCTCAACCCAACCTGCGAAGTCTGTGGAACTGCTCTCCTGCGGGTGCAAGGATCAAATGCAGCCCGCGCGACAATATCTCTCCTGCCGCAACTGCACGAGGACGGTCGGCTAGTAGACTACCTTCTTTCTCCATTATATCGACAGATTCCTGTGCAGGTGAGTATGTACTTGGTGACCAGTATTGGAACCATCTTACCTGGTATCTGCCAATGATGACCATGATCTTAGGCCCGATCCGAAGCGAGATGATGGGTCCATAGGTATTGATCCATTCTGCAAACTGCTGAGATTGACTATGATGTGTTTCCCGTTAGTGTCCACATAGAGTTTCGTATTTTATGTACTCACTTAGTTCTTGGCAGAGGAGTTCCGAATAGCCAATTTCCAGGAGGACCAGGAGGAAGAGGCAGGCGTGACTTTGAGCGTATCTTAGCGCGGAGGAGCTTGTCGGCGAGAATGACAGCGACTAATGCTCCTAGGGCCTTGAACCCAAATGTCAAGTCGAACATCCTCTAATAGTTTATAAGGGCAAATACAGTAAAACTTAGTACAAGAGAGAGGACGGAGGAATGAAAGGTACTGACCGCATGGTGCAGCAGCTGAGTTTTATGTCGGACGAGGCTGACAGGCGCTTGACGCTGACCAGTGCTGATGGGAGACCAAGCCTATTCAAGGGTGATGGACTGACGGTTAGTGCGGCTTTGGGACAGCTCAGCCAGTTGTCATGAGACGCAACTCGTATGACAAATTGACAAATATCGATGTCCTGATCCACCGCGGCGTTCGCAGTGGAGATATCCAACTTGCTGGAACAATTGAAACTTCTGGTCAATTGAGGCGCATCCAGTATATGTGATGGACACAAAGCTTCGGACGAGATACAAGTACAGTATGTCAAGATTTGTATCAAAGAGTGAGATCAATCAATTCACGATCATCATCATCACCTGTGAGATCAATTATAACACCGTCTGCGGGCACTGCTTCATCTTCATCTTGTGTGAGGTCGATGACGCTCGCAGAAGAGGCAGCAGCTGCGGAGGCCGCACCTGCAGATGACCCATGGACCACGCATGATGTCGACAGTGAATTAGTCTATCCATTTGTCAGCGTGAATGATGATGGTGTTGTTGATAGACATACCTCAATTTGGGGATCACCTGAAGACGACAGGAACATGGTCCGCACCCAGCAGTCATAGATTTGGTCAGCGAGCCATACTCGAACATACTTATGTGAGTCATCCTGACAGCCTTCAGCTGACCCCTCAAGCAGCCGGAGTGTGGCTTGCTTCAGCGTATCAGTGGGTACATCACTGTTGTGCCCCAAAAATCCTGCAAGTGCCTTCTTCGGGCGTGATGCACGGCTGAGAAAGACAGCCCTCGTGCAGCCCGAGCCAAGCTCGATCTGCATCTTGTCAGTATATGTTCAGATAGAGCAACACGGTCCACAGACCTCATTGCTCATAGGCGAATTATTCGCAAGGTCCTCCAGAAGCTCGTGCAAGATGGCAACAGGCCAAATGGTAGTGCGGAAAGTGCCGAGAAGCTTCTTTGAGTCCCAGCCCAGGAGCTGCTGAATAAGAGACGCAAGTGAAGTGAGGTTAGGTGGGGCCGGGGTTCGCAGTTTGGGCAGCTCAGTGAGTGGAGTTACTGTGGGGCGTGCATATAAATTAATGATGCCCGGATTAGGGAAGGAATCAGAGAGTGAGCGAGCGAGGGCTGGATGCAATCGGCCCATCTTTCCAGTTGGATCACTCGCAAGGTGATATTCAGCGATGTTCCGCCATTGCTGGAGGGACCGGTCCTGGTTGCCACCGTGCATAGCACTGCATAGCATACTATTGTCCATGCAGCGGGCCAGACCAAGTGCGGTCTCACGTCCGCACCCTGGAAGACCATTCTGAGACAGATGTCAGTGAGAATCAATGTTCGCAGAATGGCGGCTGAAGGCTTACCTTATCATAATCACCCCCACAGCAAATAGCAATGGTAATGAAAGCGTCACCAGTAAGAGAAGGGTCAACTTGCTCCCGGATGGTGCCGATGGTATATATCTTGATGGTGTCGGACAAAAATGTCGAGCTAAGGCAGGAGGACAGGGTCAGGAGGACACAGATGTGGAAGAAAGGCAGCACCTACTTTCGAAGGACGGTTTGGGCACCAAACACGAAGATATCACAGTCATCTGTCATGACCGCATTGATGACGCCAGCCCTATTCATCAAGGCCAGCTGCGCCTCAGCTTCCCCCGCAGCCTGGATACCAGGCTTGAATAATAAGGATAGAGGTGGCGAAATTAAACGCACCGTAATCCACTGAGTGTTGAAAGCATCCAGGATGCGCTGTGTTGGCTTCACCATCCAGTGTTCATTTGAAGACACCCTATGTCCTCGTTTAACACCAGGCCGCTGGTCACCGTCATAGCAGAAGATAAGCTGCAGTGGATACCGGGCAAGTCGGGCAAGTCGGAATAGAAATGTTCGAAGGGCGGGATTCTGCCCAGTCTGAGCATGTGCTCGGTGCCACTTGCCTTGTTGGCACTGTTCGAACCATCCGCTGGATCGTAGTAGACATTTAGTGTCAAATGTGGACATGGCCGCTGATATCCAAATGCTAACCTTGCATCAACCCCCACCACATAGGGCAGGTGAGGGGCGGGTCCTATGTAGCGGCCCTGGAGGGCAAGAGAGATGACAGGTACCATTTTTGCAGCAGGCTCGAGTAACTGTAAAGCGACTGAGGTTTGAAATCCGGCAAGCGGCAGGTGCACATACCTCCCACAGGCCGTTTATACCCATGATGACAAGTAAACCCTCTAGTTTATTGCTGCGCGCTGGTGTATCTGAGCTAGTACCCAGATGTGCACAGGAACAAGTTAGCGTGCTGCCCCTAAACAATGCGCATTTGTTTACCTATGTTTGCCTTCAAAGGAGGGATGCGGTGTTTGGTCGCAATGAGCAACAAGAATGCGGCTGGTGACTGAAATATGGTGGGGGAATACGGTGATTTCAGCGTCTTGCAAGAACAGTGTGTTTTGTAATCTAGCGCCTGTACTAATAGTCACTTAAACGCATGAAAAGATGAATGTGTCCCTTAGCGAGTGCTAGTCAGACGTAGTTGAGCTGTTTACACCAGCGCTGGGGGTTCATGGACGGTTGAGGGTGAGATGTTGGGAGGACAACAGCGAGTTTTGATAATATAGCACCTGTACTAACAGTCACTTAGACACATGAAAAGATGAATGTGTCACTTACCTCTCGAGCACGCAGTTGTCTATGCCTGGGGCCGTCCCATGCTAGTAGATGCTAAACCAGCAAGCACCACATTTGATATATCAGACGTGGGATCGTCTTTAGCGCGCGTGCAACCGTCTTTAGCACACCAGGATGGTCTTTTTCTTTGCAGGATGGTGGATATGAGCGTGGGTACCTTGGTTTTTGCAGGGAATCCTGCACGTCCACTAGAGGTTTCTTGGGCGAAAAAAGACCCTCCCAAATGGCGTGACATCACGGACCCATCCTCGGAACCGCATGACACCTCCGCAAACTCAATGCGGGCGCAGTAGTAGCTTGATGCCGGCAATGGAGCAAGGCCTGGATTCCTGCATGTACTAGTCAGCACACATCTTCAATTCCAAACCATCTCTCAAACCGTCTCTCATTTTGAGGACTTGCGCTCCCATTCGAGATTCCACACTCCTTCCAGATCCAAACCAAACTCCATGCCCTCGGTGAGTGGACTACCCAGACCTATATACTTCCTCCGCACTTCTCGAGTGCAGACGCCCGTGACGTGAGGGCCGCATCACTGCGATGAACCAGAAAAGAGACGTTTGGCAGCGTCGGGACGACATCGTGCCCAACTCCCCGCTCCTCGTTGAATTCGCATGCCTTCCAGCTTCTAGCTGAGGGGTGTCGGGTGTCTCGTCCAGCGCCGATCGGAGACGATTTGTCAAACTTACGACAGTGACGATCGGTCACTGTCCGTCACTTCGTGACCGTCCGTGACTGGACCGTGGTTTTTCGTGTCGGCAGCTATACTTCTCACGGGGAACAGATACTTACCGCCCGCCGAGTACTACTTAGGTCCATACTTTTTGAACTTATCTATTCCTATACATCAATGGCCACGCCTCTATACATCACAGAAATCCTGCAAGTCATTATCGATTATCGCTGAACTTGGTTCAGATGATAAAAAATCCCTTGCTCGTCTTGCATGGTCCTGCAGAGCGTTCACAGATCCATGCCTGGACACCCTATGGCATACCATGGACTCGTTCTCCCCATTCATCCAAGAGGTGTACATTTCGCAATTATTAAGGTAGGGGAGCTCAGTGTTATATTACTGTGCAAATTTAAAATCTCAATGGTCAACATTAAGCCAGGGCCTTGAGACACTCGCTCGCTCCGTCGTTCGCATGTGTCCGGGAAACTGGAAGTCTTTTGATAAATACGCTCGCCGCCGCGCCGCGTTCGGGTGTACAGTCAGATGCTGGATTCCTCCGAAGCGTACAAAAGGGTCTCTACCATGCGTCGGAAACACCTGTTCCCCTGTTTGCATCACCTTGACTGGTACATCCATTCTTATTCCCTGGTGGAGTCTTGGTCGTTCCCTTTTTCATTGCGGTCCCTCACTCTCTTCCCGTTCCCTTTGATGAATGTGTCTTACGTGACACTGTCAACATCTGTCGTCGTCTTTCTGTGGCTACAGTAACAAACCTCATTGTTTCATTGTACTCGCCGAGGATCTGAGTCTGGCAGCAGTCGAATCCTCTGGTCTTTCATGCTCTGGAGACATTGATCATCCTTGGGGACCCCACGTCAGCGAGCTTATTCATCGCACATGTTGGCAGCACGCGTCTACGCGATGTGTGCTTCTCACCCGGAATTCAATACAGCACACTCTCGGACTGCCAGACGCTCCTTGCGGCCCTGTTCGAGAAACATGGGAAGTCACTACGGTTTTTTCGCATGCTCATTAATATCAGAGAGATACCTGGATACAGGCCTGGATAGTGCCTCTAATCAGTCCCGGGAGGAATTCCTAAGCGTATTGCGTCTTCACGTGGGCAGAAGCAGCATTGAGACGGTCGAGGTCGTTTTGCATTCCCGCCTCTTGCCTGCTAATGATTCCAGGCGGTCGCAGCTTTCAATCACAACCACAGTTCAATCCATTGATCACGTATAGACAGAGGGAAATATTGCAATACCGATTCAGTGCTAGCGCTAAGTACAACTGATGTAGCTCAGACTACGCACTTACATTCTCTCCCCTACGTTTAACTGTGTAGAACAACCGCATATATGTCGAAGCATTTGTGATATCAGATGTTCGTTCGAATCTGTTTCATGTTTTCCTCAAGTACAATGATTGTCCTCTAAACTTGGGGCAAGTTTGGACGAACAACTGGCTGCAGGCTGAAGTATCAATCGGTCGTAATGTGTGATCAAGAATCATATCTGTACACTATGCTCTCCGACACAGCGTGCACCGCCTTGGCGCTTTTGGTAACGAAAGTAAATGTAAGCAAGTCGAGTTAAAGCAGCTCCGATCCAACCATGTACCAGCACGAGCCCATCTACTCAGATTTGTAGTCGGGACGCAGCGACCGCACAACCTTGCCTGCACGCCAGATCTCCTGGTCGTCAATCTCCTTCAGCTCTTTGGCAAGATCTTGGCGGTACGTCGAGCGACCGTTGAATTCAAGAGACTTGCGGGTCTCCGTGCCGTTCCGCACGCTCTCGTACAACTGCTCGAAGATAGGGGTGTTGGTCTTCTCGAAGATGGGTGCCCAATCAAGCGCACCACGGCGAGCGGTGGTAGAGCAGGCGTTGTACATGTAGTCCATGCTACGAAAGGATGAGGAAAGGGGTTATATGTGAAGAGAAAAGTACACGTACCCCTTCTGTCCAATCAAGGGGTATAGGGATTGAGTGGCCTCCTCAACGGTTTCGTTGAAGGCTTCCGAAGGAGAGTGGCCGTTGGCACGGAGCACCTTGTACTGTGCGCAGAACAGACCCTCTGATAAACCGTCAGCTGAGAATATCTTGCAAATGTGAGAAAACTTACGGATAGCACCCATGAGGACACCACGTTCACCATAGAGATCGGAGTAAACCTCCTTCTGGAAAGTGGTCTCGTACATGTAACCTGAGCCGACAGCGACACCAAGAGCAACAGCCTTTTCCATGGCCTTGCCAGTGACGTCCTGGAAGACGGCTACACTGGAGTTGATGCCACGGCCCTCTTTGAAGAGGGTGCGGACAGTGCGGCCAGAACCTTTGGGTGCGACCAAGATGACATCAACATCCTTGGGGGGTATAACCTTGGTGTCTTCCTTGTACACAACGGAGAAACCGTGCGAGAAGTAGAGGGTCTTGCCCTTGGTGATAAGAGGTGCGACGGTGGGCCACGTCTGCGATTGTGCGGCGTCAGAAAGAAGGTTCATGATGATCGTGCCGCGGTTGATGGCTTCCTCGATGGGGAAAAGGGTCTCTCCGGGAACCTAATGAAATATCGATTTTACATTAGATGGCTGCAAGCCGAACAAGAGGCGAACATACCCAGCCATCTTCTATGGCCTGCGTCCAGCTCTCGCCGTCCTTACGGACACCAACGATGACATTAAGGCCGTTGTCACGAGCGTTCAAGCCTTGGCCGTGACCCTGAGAGCCATAGCCGATGAGAGCAAGGGTATCATTTTTGAAGTAGTCCTGGAGCTTCGCGAGTGGCCAGTCGCTGCGCTCATACACAACCTCCTCAGTGCCAGCAAAGTTGAGCGTCTTCACACCCCGGGCAGAGATAGCGGCCTGCATGCACTTATCGCGTCAGCGCCAATCACTCACATGATGTGCAAAATTTTTCACCTGCAACGTGGTTTTGCTTGAGCTGCCCGCCAAAGCCTGACGAGCAAGCAAAGAGTAGGACGCGGTCTGTGCAGGCTTAGCTGCAATTTTTGCACCGGCACGAGGTGCACGGCGAGAAGCAGCGCGGAGGGCTGAAGCTGAACGGGACGCGATGGAGGCCATGATGACTGGAGAAGGAAAGGTAACTGTCCGTAATTTATGAACCAAATTTTTGTAGTCTCAAGTAGTACCGAGTCACCGACTCGGCCGGCATTGTCCGATATGCCAGCAGAAGATCAAGTACATCAAAGATCACGTATATAAAACGTACATGACATGGACATGTCGCATCACAACTTCGTTTTCGTCATGAGTGTACGTACTAGATGTCCACTAGAGTTCGCGCATTTTGGGGGTAACGTCTATTACTCCACAACGCACAAATATAAAAAATTAATCCTTTGACAGTTCGATAGCCTGACATCGAAACTACAACATCTGCTAGTTATTTTTTCGAAACTCGACGTGTTGAGTCCGGCGGAGAGTTACCGCGCAGGAAAGTGCATTTGCCCTAGAGTTCGCGCACTTTGTCACACCATGTCACACATCTGCCGCAATGCCTTTCTTGGGATAGATTGTCACGTCTGAGGCATATTTCTTTTATTGCAGATGATCCTGACAAGCATGTGGCCCCAGAGAAATTTGTTTTAGTATTCTCTCATCGTGTATAACCATCATACGGCATTCCAGAATTTTATGTGGTGATCTGACATTTACAGCGAGCCTTCTATGCACAAAACTAGCCTCCAGCACCAATAAGTTGGCCATGGGACGAGATCTACTTTGATTTTCTTCAAACAAAAAACATGGCACTGTGTATTATGTTGGGAGGGAACCTAAATGCAACATACATAAGGATTCCGTGCAGAATTGCGTGTGCTAGAGTCAATGCGCGAACTCTTGGGATACACGGACTCATGGGACTATCTAGTAATGATTTGTAGAGCGCCTTGCTAATAACACGTGCGTCACTAAGCTATGAACATACGAGCCTCCACAACCGATCCTCCAATGCCTCGATAGTTGCACGTGAGGTGTTCAAGCTACTCATGAAATACGCCACGTTCCCTAGCGTCCTATAGTGCACGCCAAAAGGTGCTCCTCCAGGGGCTGGCGATGTCGATCCGTCATCCAGCGGTAATCGCATGCTCTGCAACAACGCCTGAGCCGAATGCGAAGCATAACCTGCACTCTCATCAGCCACATAACCTAAACAGCCAAGGAAAAGCATCAGCATTACCTGCGGCATCGTCCTTGAACTTGATAGCAAGTACAGTTCCCAGCGCCATCGCTTCGTCGACGATGTCGAGACGAGATATCGACGTGATGAAATCAGGGTCCCAGAAACTCCAGACTTTAGAAGGAGCTCCTTCAGGCGCCCATTTACGGGTTGCTGTCGCCCACTGATTGCTCTTTGCCAGCTCGCCAACCATATCGAGCGTTGCATTTGCAACCTGACAGCCAATGGCATGCGCCGTGTAACTATGTCCATGCAGCAAAGCATCAACTTTGCTCTCGCTATTAAACGCCTGGAAAATATGGTCGGACGCCAGTGTTACTGCCAAAGGCAGTATACCACCGGTGAGAATCTTGGCGTTCACTGAGATGTCAGGGTTGACACCAAGTAAAGGCCCCGCGCTTTCGAACCCTAGGCGGTACAATCCGACGAAGACTTCATCAAAAATGACTGGAAGAGCTGCAGGGAATAAGGTGGGGTCGCGGACGACGTCAACCATGATGCGTTGGAACAATGGATCGACAAAAATCATCCCTCCTGCGCCCATAACGATGGGTTCAAGGACCAGAGCGGCGAGCTTTCGGCTATTGTCCGCTTGAAGGTTACAGATGTTCTTCTCTAGATAATGCCTGTAGTGTTTTGCGAGCGGAGATGTCAGACGCTGCTCGACGTCATAGACAAGAGAGAGGGTTTCAAAACTTTCAACCGCCTGATGCTGCTGATCACCGGTGAGAGAGGACAGGGCAGGTGGAAGGGTGACAGCGACTTGGCCTTGCCGAATGGATACAGTCGGCGGCTCAAACCAATAACCCTTCGCTTCGTGCCATTCGCAAGTATAGACTCCCTCCTCGCAAGCATCCATAGTTCCGATCGTATCTCCATGATAACTCCCCCTCAGGCCAATAACCCCCAAGGACTTCTTTTCTGCAGAACTTAACTCGAGTCCTGAACTGACGATGAACGACCGCAAGGCCATTTTAAGCGCAACTTCCATTCCAGTGGAGCCGTTGTCTGAAAAAAATGCACGAGAAGCCCAGCCTTTACCTGGGCCTTGAAGTAGGCGTTCAGCGAGCTTTAGAGCTGGAAGGTGGGTTGCCTGCGGGAACATGACGTGACCGTAACGACCCGCCGCATTTGCAGCAGCAAGCGCTAGTGCTGGATGAGCATGCCCGACCGCTTGTGTCCACCACGAGGCAGAACTATCAAGCTGAGGTTGCAGGAGCGATGTCGGTTGCGAAGTATTTTCGGAGGAAGCGTCATAAACGCTGAAGAAATCTGACCATGCGCTGTCAATAACGTTGACGTCCTTCTCGTTCTTGACTAAACCGTGTTGCACGAATGGCCACCAGATCGCGTCGAGAGTTCGACGAGGCATGGAGTCTAGCTCTTGGATCCGACGTGCGTGACACGTATCGAGATGTTCGACTGCGGTGAAAATGTCGCCTTGAAGGCTGTCTGGAACGAGATTCGAGTAGTATTTTTCTGTCTTCGCGAAATCCTCCGCGGCATCATCGATCCGTGGGGGAGGAGGATCTAATGCCGTGACACGAGTACCTCGTTCAGCAAAGTACTGCGTGAGGTATTCGAAATTCCGATAGTACTCGTCGCGGAACAACAAGATCGCGTCCACGATGTATCCGCGTAGTAGTAGCGACTCGAATGAAGATATGGTTGATGATATACCGCCGAGTTTTGAGTCTCCAATTAAGATGGTAGGGAGAAAGAGCGGGCGATAGCTGTCAAGCTGGGTCGTTCCAGAGAGCGTTGGGCTATGGACACCTGCGCGATTCAATAAGAGGAAAGTGTTGTTGAATTAGTGCTCACCTCCAGCCGTCTCCACATACATGTGAGCTGGTAGACTCACAGCCTTGGCGCGCTTTCTAATGTGTTCTGCGACAGAACGGACAAAAGTTTCGTCGGAAGGCGCAGAAATCTTGTCACAAGCATCAGCAGATGATTATCATCGCAAAGCAACTACCCACTTTTACTCCTTGAGTTTCAGAAGCTATCTTTGCAGCAAGGTGCGGACTAACGGGGTCTCCATATCGGAACAAGCAATGAGCATCCACCAAATGCTTTTGCGGGCCAGCATGACGTTTGATATGTCTACAGGAGATCAGAGACGCGTCGAACGCGATGAAAGACACGTACTCGTCATCCGCGTCCTGCGGTGCGCCAGTGCTCACTGGTTTGAGATAAAACACGCGGTTGTTGTTGAGCGCCGACGCCCGAACGAGCGCGGTGGTGATGATGGTCTTGCCAACATCAGTGTTAGCTCCGAATACTTGATGAACTCGAAGGTGCTTGTAGAGATGGGTCATTTCATGGCAAGGTGATGTCAATCAAAGTAGATTAGATAAAGCACAAAGAGGTGCAACAACAAGGGTTGCTACTGTGCGGAAGTACACTATGTACGAATACCGTCGCGATCTGAATATCGTACTACGTCCGCAATTAAGTGTGAATCGTACGACTCGAGTATGGAATCTATGAGTACAATGCAGAGACCCTGTACGCGTAATGTATGGTGATCGGAGATGATGCGGAGTAAGTCCACTCAGGTATTAAAAGTAGCGATGTCGCTAAGTATCGCGGAGATACTCCTGAGCCCATGGCCCAAGCTCATCGTCGGCCATGGGAATGGTCACGCCGCAAGCGGCAAAGTGACGCGCGATGGACAACTTGTCAATGGAGTCAGCCATGCCCACAAAAGGCGCATAGCAAACATGGGGAGAGACACTGAAGGCTCCTCTCCGAAGAATATTGGAGTATTCTCCTGGCTCAGAGAAGAGCTCTGTGACGACAGCCATGTATTTTTGCCGTGCTTCGCGAGACTCGGGATCGCTGGGGTGTACTAGGGGGCGCAGCCGAGCTACCGTTCGACTGGCTTTCATATCGCACACGACGGGACGACCGTCGGCTTCGCGTCGGATGCCCTTGGGACAAGAGCTGGGATTCGCGGTATAGTATGACACCCAACACTCGACGGGGTCCTCGAGACGAGGGTTGTTTAATGGGGCAGATAACTTTGGCAGTGATGAGGGATGCTCCCAATCAGGAGTTCGCCAATTGGACAACAAGTACCGCTGGACTTCAGTCTTTTGGTCTCTGGGCGTTTTGTGTGCTTCTGAACAGAGCGCTTTGACTTTTGTGAGTGCGCTATAGTTCCCGGGCTGGTGTGCGGCTTTAATGAGGGATTGGACATGTTTGATGCTCTTGGCAGGCTTGGTCGGTTTATAAGCGGATGGAGCTACGACAGTCCAGCCCAAAGACGTAGGCGAGTCGTCTGATGTATGAAAAGCAGGGTCATCATCACTGCTCGGCTGACCCGTTGCCAATACGGCAGCGAATGAACGAGCAGCAACGCAGTCGGGTAACTGGGCTTGAGGGGAAGCAGGGGTTGTCATAGGAGGTGAGATCTGTTGAGGATAAAGGGGTGCTAGGAAGTCAAGGGAGAGTTGGTGATCGGGAGGATTCGTAACCTGAGCTTCAGTGGAGCATGGGGGATCGGAAGGGGGAGGGTCAACCTGAGCAGACTTTGTCGAAGAATGGCGGGAAACAGATTCGACGGAACTGGAGACATCGACTGGAGGGACAGTCTGCTGTCTCAGCTGGTCCTGCAGACGTTGTGAGTCTGCACGGCTGACCTCGAGCTGAGCGCGAAGGGTGCACAGCTCGTCACGCGCCTGGTTGCGCTCACAGCGATAGTGTTCAAGGTCATCGAGTAGCACTCTATTTTCCTCCTTTTGACGGCGGATGCCCTCTGATATGCCCTTGTTAAAGACATCTTCACGTGAGCGCTTCCGATCTTGGAAGGCAATCTGGAACGCGGGCTGATGGGACGAATAACTTGCGTCAGCGACATGCTTCATGTAGGAGGAGCAGACGTCGCATCCTGATGGGTGGACTATGCCATAGTCTTCAAGGTACTCCCAAGGGGAGAGTAGGGTGGGAACACCACGATTATCTCTATGTGAGACACGATAGGGCTCGTCATGAGATGACAAGGACGTGAACATAATTGGTCTAGATGATAGAGATTTCTGAGGGATAATAAAATGCGCACCAGGCGATCTTGAAGAAGTAAAAAAAAGGGTATCTAAGATGTGGCGACGGTGGGGACCGTCCCATGGTGGCGCAAGGTCAGCCTTGATATCCCTTTCAACACGTGCCTGCCTCGCGTTCAATGCAAGGCTGGTTATTTGCTAATGTTAGTTTCAGACGCTCTAGCAAAACAAAAGTAAACAAACACCCCACGGGGCACGTGTTGAGAAATAACGCTAGCCGAGTTTTGATTAACTTCGTTTTTCATTTTTTGTCCACATCAACGTTGAAGTTGGGTGGAAATGTGGGTATGACAACCAAGTTTCTTTTTCTAGTACCACCTAGTTCCCCAGATGAGTACATTGCCCACCAATGCAACATCTACTATCAACTTTTATCAACTTTTTGTTTCACGTTCCTCTCGCCTGTGACCTCACTTGACTTAGTGGGCTTCATTGCTGCCGTCTACAAATCCACGCAGCTGACTAAAAATTGTCAACCTAAGTCAGGAGACACTGGGGGAAATGTTAAACTCAGGTACATCTGATGACACGTTCGCTGGATGTTTCCTGAAAAGCCTAGTCTCCCGTAGTCAGCCCCTAGCAAAATGAAGACAGTCGTTCCTTCTGTAAAAAGCCGGTCTAATCACTTCACTCGCTTTGATGCAGTGATAAGGCAAGCATTTTTTTTATCTTACGGATTCCATACTCCCAACATTTTTCTTACCGCAAGCTTCTCGGAATCAACCTGCTTTGGTGCTCTGATGCAATCATCCTGGTATCCATGTCATCCATCCTACTCCGAGGCTTTTGTAACCACACCCAAGCAATAACTATCTTCAGCCAAGTACCCCTTGCATATCCTCGGCAGAAAGCCCCGGCACGATCGACATCGGCCTCATCGATGAGCCTGCCCATGCCTTCCGTGACGGTAGCCATACCTCGTTTTCAGCTATGAAGTTGTCCGGATGGCGGAGACGGCCCTGCATGACCACAAATTTTCATAATTTCTGGCAGGCCAAATTGCGGAGCGGCCTTCGGCTAGCAGTGTTATAAACAGTTAATAACCGGAACATTTAACACCTGTTTATAGACATCGACTTTTCAACCGTACCCTACGAAGTGCGGAAGACTAAAACTCAAACGTTGCGCAGGAGTTTTGGCATCTATGTGGCGGCCGTGCTGAGTCGCATCGATTCAAGGATAATCATATTGCAGAGAGCGTTGCTCGTCAGGTATATGCACGTTCATCGGACATTGTGACTTCCCAAACAACGCGAAGCCAAGGCTGCCTAGGAGCCGGGGATTCATTCATGCCCCGCGACCCCGCCGCGCCACACATCTTCCTTTGAGTACTTGCCACATTAACTTCTCATGACATTGACAAAGGTTTTTTCGACTCTGCGGAGATTATCATGCATTTTGGCTCAACCGTTTTCGCTTAAAGTAGGGCATCTCAGTAGCAAAGCGAGCAACGCCTTTACGTTCACACTAAAAGTTTTAGTCCATACAACACCTGCCTGCTACTATTACTTTGCCTCATTCCCTTCCACAAACTCCATCATGTTTACTTCCCGCACCATCATCTTTGCGTCGCTCAGCTTCCTCGCTGGCGCCAATGCGTGTGTACAGTGTCCAGCCACAGTGAAGGATGGCGTTAGTGCCATAAAAGTATACGATGTCACAACAGACAGCCAGACCACATTCTGCATGTGCGTTGCACCCACACACTTTCATTGAATAAATTCACTGATAGGCTAGCAGGTACTACAACTCGAATGACGCGAATGGCGACGGCCCAACAATATTCTGTCAGTATCACACCGTAAGTGCTTTCTGGATATTGTGCAGCTCATTGCTCTCGGTTGACTTGCTAGCGATGGCATCAGCGGAACGGCCAGTTTATAGATGGGCATAAGTCTTGTGCGCGTACAGCAACTGTGAAGGAGGATGACTGCCGAACGTGATGTGAAGAGCTAAGGGAGACGAGACACCCAACATAAGGAGCCATGTAGACAGCCGGGTGTACGTCCAGTAGACACCATCTATTACGAGAATTGTTCAGTGTTTAATACACGCACTGCAACAAAGTCATCCACAACCTTGTAAACCGCTAGGAGGTATTCGCCACAACAAAGACAGTACTAGTCATAGAGTTAGTCATATCTCGTAAAGCACAGATGATATCGACTTGGATCATGATCAAACGTGCCTTGGGTGCCGTATCTACATGCAATGCGATCTACTGCCAGCCCATTATCATCATTTCGCGAAATGTATAACGACTGCGTCTTATATAATGGATGGATGATTAGGATCGACTACTAGTTCGAGGGAAGGAAAAAGGATAATGCATTCCGCACTCTGCTCATCCGTCATCGTCGCTAGACTACCGCTGAAAAGCTCCAGGGGACACCCGTAAATTTGGCAGTGATAGAGCATCGAACAGGCCGGATAAAGGGCGCGCGAATGCCAAAGAGAAGGAATCGATGTGTATGGACCGAATTTCGGTGTGCGTGAATGGCTCTAAGATTTGTATGTGGTGAAATCCTGCACGAACCGTTGACGAGGAGAGGTTGGGACATAACTGGAGCAAGTGGAGGAATGCATTCGGAATATGTCGACATTTGTCAAGTGGGCCCATACGACATTGGAAGAAGATAAGTGCGCGACATCGAACTATGACCCTATAATATCGAGACTGCGCAGAGTGAACGGGAGTCGCGAGATAGATTGTGCGATAGTTGGAATGTCATGATCAAGCCCTGGTATGGTTCCTGAAGTGTTGGGAAGTCTTTCAACAAGAGTCCGCATCTGACCGGATGATGTAGGGCTGAAGAAGGCGTTGTAGCTTGGTTGAGTGATGATTTGTGTAGCACTCAAATGATAATGAGAGTGGATGTCCTCGCGCTCGGCGTTCGAGCTATAAGGTGTAGCAGAAAACTGCCCGCCGCCAGTCCCTGTCGTCGAATTCGAACTCCATCCACCACTGGCACCATAAACCGGGCATGCCCACAACAACATCCCTCCATCGCCGACATATTTTGCCAGTGGTCAGCAGTGACCAAAAACTCAAATGTTGCACAGGAGTTTTGGCATCTATGGGGAGGCCGTGCTGAGCTTCATCGAGGATGGTCATATTGCCGAGTCAGATATGTGCACGTTCATCGGATGTTGTGACTTTCCAAACAACGTGAAGCCAAGGCTGCCCAGGAACCGGATATTCATTCGTGCGCCGCCACACATCTCCCTTTGCAAATTTGAGTACTTGCCACATTAACTTCTCATGACGTTGGCAAAATTCTTCTCGAGTCTGCGGAGATTATCGTGCATTTTGGCTCAACTGTTTTCACCTAAAGGAGGGCATCTCATGCATCAGCAAAGCGAGCAACGCCTTTACGTCCACACTGGAAGTTTTAACCTATAAAGCACCTGCCTGCTACTATGGCTTTGCCCTCATTCCCTTTCACAGAATCTATCGTGTGAACTTCCCGCTCCATCATCTTTGTGCTGCTCAGCTTCCTCGCTGGCGCCAATGCGTGTGTAGAGTACCCAGCCACATTGAACGTCGGCAGTCGTGCCACGAACCTATACGGACCCTCCTAAAATCCGATCAGGTCACATTTTGCCAGTGCGCCGCACCCACATATCTTCATTGAATAAAGTAACTGATAAGTCGGCAGTTACCATAACCCGGATAGCGAGGGCTCATCATTAAATGTCAGTATTCCACTGTAAGTGCTTTGTGAATATTTTGCAGTTCATTGTTCTCGGTTGACATACTAGCGATGGAATCAGAAAAACGGCCAGATTGTAGCTGGGTATCAGTCTTGTGCACGTACAGCAACTGTGAAGGCTCACTGCTGAACGTGATGTGAACAGGTGGGGGAGATGAAACACTCAACAAGAGGGGTAATGTTCGTCTGCAGACAACCGGGTGTCCGCCAGTAGTTAGACTGCATCTGTTACGAGAATTGCCAAACTCACACCAACCCCCTATTAGAATACTTCCGCCCCGGGTAATGATAAGTACTTACAATCATGCCGAAAACCAGCCTATCGATGTCATGGTAATCAAGCAACCTCACCAGGATCCCAGTCCACACTGCCCAGTCACGACTAATCACGTGAGACTAAAGTCATGGATGTCCCAAGTCAGAAGTGGAAGGGTGGCAATTTGACACTCAACGACAAGCAGACTTGTTATATGCCTGATCAAGATGTGCTCGTCTTCTCTAGTGTAAGAGCGTCCCTCAGTTTGCTTGCCAGAAATGTTTGCCGATGATATCACACTACTTATTGATGAGGGGTAATAAAACGCGATCTTGAAGAAGTAAAAAAGGGTACCTAAGATGGGGCGACGGTGGGGACCGTCTCATGGTGTGACGCAACTTTTTGAACGCTGGTATCTGCAAATTATTTGCTAATGTTAGTTTCAGACGCTGTAGCGAAACAACAGTAAACAAACGCTCCACAGGGCACGTGTTGCGAAATAATTAACGCGAAGGTAAGCTACCGGTCATGGCAAGGTCATAGAGAGGCCTGGGTCGGTGGTCAATCGGTGGTCGTGATTAACTTCGTTTGTAGGCGCTGAAAGCATGCTTAACTGTGGCTGTGTAGTGTGACGTAAGCAGATAGCACGTGGTTGGCGACGATCAGGTCAAGGGCAGGTCTCACAGCGAACTCACACAACGTCTCCAAAGTGTCCAACAAAATCACTAGTACTGCTGCGGACAAGCATTGCTATACCTTCTGATACCATACTCTGACCAATTTACCCGGCTGATTTGCTATATCCATCATATCCCGCTTTCTTACTTTCTTATCATCTTCTTGGTTTTACTTTCTATACCCGAGAGCTTTCAACTACCCGGAGCGTAAACAATCACGATGCCATTCATGGAGACGCTTCAAAACGGCCTCGACCGCGTGTTACCAAGGAGGACAAAGTCGAGCGCAGTACCACCAGTGGGCATAGGAAATGGGCGTGGTATGGTCAATTATGAGGACGACGTGAGTCTTGTAGCCTCCTTACTTTGTTATAAATTTCCGCTCTACTCCTGTACCCATACATATGCTGCGCTTCACCGCTTCTTGAAGTATTTACTTCTGAGATTTCAACCATTTACGTAATACAACCACTTTCCTCTATGCCTCTTCATGGACCAGTCTGGAACACTGGTCTTCCTCCTCTTCTTGCCCCTGCTATGGATTTTATGGCTTGCGGTCATTTTTGTTGTCTTCCAGTGTCAGATGAACCATGCTGACATCTTCTGTGGCTTTTAGATGATTATAAGCAAGCCTGCCATCATATTCCACATATCTCAGATATTCTTCAACTTCCTCGCCATGGCTTGTTTTGCCAGCGTCGCCAGCTTCCAGGCAACGTGGAAAATCGGGCCTTGTGAGTTTTCTTCTTATCTTCTTTCCATGTTTACCCTTCCAACCAACCAACTTTCCCATCACCGCCACCGTCCCACTGGGTTATTCCACCCCTCCGTCATTTTACCATTCCAAATGGTGTTCTTTCCTTCAATGCAACCGTGCTGACTTGACTTAGCGGGCCTCTCGGGCTTCGCGATCTTTGTAAGCGTCTCAGGAATATTCCTAGCACTCTTCCTCCTCTTCGTACCCGTCGTGTACGAGAAATACGACAAATTCACGCGTCTTGCCCGTGCCCTCAAAGAAGTACGCGTCGGCTTCATCCTCGTTGGCAGCGGATGTATCTTCAGCCTGCTTATCGCGTGCGTCTTCATCTTACAACCCCTAGATGCCGCGCTAATACCGGGCTTTACAGATTTGTCACGACTATCTCAGCGTGGACAGAGGCTGGGTGCAAAAACGCGGACAATGACCCTCATGCAAGTCTCGGCGATTCGTTTAAGAGCGCCCTTCCTGGCTGGTGCAGTACGAAGAAAGCAGGCGCCATCTTCTTTTGGCTGGCGTTTGGTGCGTTTCCGTGTCGTGCTCCATGCTTTGTTTGCTGACCCCATCTCTCTCTGTTTCAGGCTTCTGGCTCGCCTCCCTCGTCTTGCTTTTCATCGATTGGCGCTCAGGAAACCTTACAACACCACCACGCGACCTCCCATTCACACGTCCCGGTGCAGATATCGAGGAGGGCGAAGAAGAAGAAGAGGAGGAGGAAGGTGGTCATACATACCAGCCCGTCGCTACCAATACCGCACCCACATACCCCCGTCAGTCGACATACGACAACTCCAATGCAGCAGCATCACCATTCGCCGACTCCAACCGACTTTCAACCGCACCAACCAATGCCAGCACCACCTACCTCTCGACCGCTCCACCCTCCACCAACCGTTTCTCCGTCGCAGACTCAAGCGCCAATCGCACATCAGCATATTCCACTGCGCCTACCACCACCACCGCTCCCACGACGAGCACGAGCAGTTACCCTGCTTCAAGACCTAGCATGGACGCGTATGGCGCGTTCTCGGACCCAGCCCCGAGTGGGTTTGGTGGTGTATCGACGTCGTACGCACCGCCTCCGTCAGACCCTGGGGCGCCGCGAGTGAGTAGGACGATGCAGTATGCGGACCCATATTCTGCTGTGCGTGCGTCGCTGGCGACGAGTGCAGCACCAACGGCTTATGAGGCGCCGTACACTGGGTACCGATAGTTTTTTGGGGTAAGATGAGCTGAGATTTGTGTTATGGACTAGTAATAGTATCGTCGATGTTTGCGGATATTCCGCTTGATCTCCTCGTTAGCGCTTATAATTTACGCTCCGTGATGGCACTGGAATATGTATTATCCATTTGCATTGCAGCTATGTTGAAACTGTCTACCGAGACTTGGGGGACTTATCGGTGTCTCTTTAGTCACCCGCTCTATCAAAATTTGACAAACATCCTCTTGCACCACAGATCATGTCCCAGCGGTACACCACCGCTAATTGACTCATCAAATTCGCTGCCGCAACATCTTGAAGACCTGTAAATAGATGCGGTCCAACGAAGACTGTTACCTGGACCGGAAGTTCACGTTCGCCCTACGTCGGTCGTATGCAGTCTTTTCTTCTTTTTCGTCTCCTTTTTGTCCGAGTCTCTGAGTCTTTTCGCTTCTTCGACTCGCGTCCACGAGAACAAGGCGTTGGGCTTTCTGCTGTCTGAGGAGAGGGGGTGCCAGACGAGACTTCTGTGATACGCTTTGAGTCGACACCAGCCTCACGCTCTCTGTACCTGTAGTCGAACCACTTCCGGTATCGGTAGTACTGGAGAGTTCATTAGTAGCCGCAGTCCAGTCGAGTCCTAGCGTAAGCTTGGAATTACGGGCGGTGTCCGATGAGCTTGAGCTCCTCCATGTCTGCCTTGAGCTTTTCCGCACTTCGACGTAAGATGCGGTCCGAAGTTTCCCGGAGGACATTTGGGGGGTCACCGACGTATGCAACCGTGAGTAGTCGTTTGAGAGTCGCTGGAACCGAGGAAAAGGGCGCGAGTGTCGTTTAGTACATCGTCGGGGTCAGAATTCTGCAAAAGCTGTATCCTATTTGTGCGTGCAGAGATGCGAAAGGTGACAAGGCGCGAGACGATTGTACCGCGAAGGGATGGTAGATATGTCAATCAACCATGTCAGCAGCAGTGCGCCGCGAGGGTTCGAATCACGGCAGCATACTTGAGTTGGGGGTGCGTAGCCTTGACGGATTCAAGGCGACCCCTTCACTGGTGTGATGTAAATTCTGAGGTAGATGATGCCTCTCCGTCTGCGGACGCAAAGCACAAGCTTCTGTACGAATAGTGAGATTGAAACCATGCATTCTCCCACGCAAGTAGTGTACTACTTAGTGTATCCGGTTAAACTGGTTTTGACTGGTAGTTCCGAAGCTCAAAAATGTCACCTTGGGCATGGAGTGGTACAGCGAGGAAGACAGGTGTCAGCTAAGATGTCACGAAAGGTGGGATGCAGAGAGTTATGTAGCGCAACGGACAGACAGACCCGGACGGCCCCAGCCGGACACAGTCGGACGGTCTTGGTCCGAATGTCTGCTTACATCATACTACACAGCCACTAGAGTCATGCATGACCTCCTATATTCTTTGCTGCTTGTCACTGCATGAAGGCCTTCGACGAGAAAAACATGGAAGAGCTCGTATACGGGATCGATGTATCATTCCCAACTCCTTCACTCGTCTCTCCTGTCGACATCAACCACTCAGAATCCCTCATCCATCGACTGCCAGTGGAACTTCTACAGGGGATATTCTTGCTCATCGTCAACGACGTGCCAAACTGTCTTAGTATTTTCTTATTTGAAGAAACTACTATATCGGCGAATTTTTCTAGTCCTCCCCTATTGTTCACCCGGGTGTGCCGCCTTTGGTGAATCGTTGCACATTCAACGACAGGCATCTAGTCGCGCGAGGCAGATTACATCATTGAAGCCATTCCTTCCATCCGTGCTCCAGTTTTGGCTTGCCTTGTCTGGCAGTCGACCTCTCACCATTCGAATCAAACACCACCCACCCCAATCTCGCCATAAAGGCAAGCGAATATACGGGCCGTATTTCTCACAGGCAGATCTTTGAATCCTCGAGATCTTATTTGCCGAGAAGGGGCATTGGGAAACGGTAGCTGGTGTGTCATGCATATACGATAACCGTGATATCTTCCGCACAACCTAGTTGAGATCCTTGCAGTGTGACTGGTCAGATATACAGAGATTCTATGCACCAAATCTCTGTCGCCTACACATCGTCAATCTTCGCTTTGCTCAATTCAAATCTACTCCTACCTACCAGAATATACGATATCTCCACCTCAAATACGCTTCCGTCAGCATCATACGCTCTACTTCAGTGATTTTCTCTCATCTTGAGGCCATCCTCGTGGATTCAATCGAGTCATTCGATGTTGATGCTAAAAGTCACTCGGCCACGCCGCATTCTTGTCTTCAATCGATGACACTCTTTATCTGGGATCCTCTTGACGAGGAAGATCTATCGAATTTGTCGAAGTATTCCGTGGATCACATCTTCCCGCACCACAGAAATTGACCATCACAGTGGGGGACCAACTAGAACGGGCGATTATGACGGCGTTTGCAGCCACCGCATCTTGTAACGTCAGAGTGGTAGACTTACAAATGGTCGACGAAGTTGATGTGGATATGGTCAAGCCGCTACTCTCGGTAGCGCAGGAGGTGTGGCACATGGGCAAATGATATGCAACAGACCGGTCACTAGGGAAATTGGAACTCCACGAGGAAAAAAGAAATTGAAGGTACAACTTGTATAAGTTCCATGTTCGTCACCTTAAATAACGAGCTCTTCGAGTCTGCAGAGTGGCATCTATGATCTATTAGAGTAGAGGCCTGTCTTAGATTGGATTTTTTGCGACGACGCGGCGGCAACAACGTTAACTTACTCGGTTCTAAAAGCAACGTTATTGGCAGCTTTATCTTTTATGCGAATAATAATACCTCACGAATATCATGGGACGTTCGCCAGCCTCAGGCTTTTAATAACAATCAATTTTTATCGCCGTCTGCCAACTTGTTGGCCCATAATGTATTATATACTATCGTAAGTCTGGAAACTTTTTTTTATTCGACATGTACACTGTACACAGTGTATATAATACCAAACCGATGACGTTCTACTAATGTATGGTGGGCCGTGGCACCCTAGTCTATCACAGAGAGATCATGCACCTGCCGGAAGTGCGCTCCCGGTAACAATCTGCCTTCCAGTCAATATCATTGCCCGCGTTCTTCAAGAGCAGCCACAACTCTCTCGTTCTCTTCTATGTGCCTCCTCACTAATGCCCCATATGCTCCCCCATCTCTTTTCCCGTCTTGAGGTTCTGACTGAGAATCGGGTGGGTACCGTCCATAGATGGGCTTCCGCCCGTATGCGAGTTCAGAGACGGAGATCTATATGCGGGCATCAGCATCAGCAGGTTAGCGGAGAGATTAGAGTTCAAAGGGAACGACATGACATGTGAGAAAAGATAGCGACTCACCAAAATATCAGCTGTCAGCCCCTTGATAGGAGATGCGCATGTTCTGAAACGATGCATCCTATAGATGACTCCATCGAATGCTTTAAGGCGCACGTCGGATGTATTCTACGCAATGGGCAAGAAGAATTAGCACGCAAGCACGAAACACTGAAAATGAAAATACAGTAAAGAGTCAAAAACTCACATACACCTCCTCAGCACTGTATGGCCAGTCCTCTCCCTCGTCCACGAGGGATTCTCCCTTGTTCGACAAGAGGTGAGGGTCCAGTATCGCCTCGAGCGGGTGATCGAATATCCGGTCGACTTCTGTGATGGAGGGAGTTAGGGACTTGAGGATTGGATGGGAGGAAGAGCTGGGTGGGACATTGGGGCTTGCATTTGAGGCGCCATCCGAGACCGAGGATGACGATGACGAAGGTGTGGGCGGCGAAGAAAGGGATGATAAAAGTACGACCACGGGCGTCACCAACAACTGCGATGCGGAGAGGAAGGGCGGGAGGGTTGTGACAAAGTGTATGTTAGAAGATTTGGGTGGGAGAGGGAGGCCGACTTCTTCATTTGCTTCGCGAAGCTGAAATTACGAGGCAGTGGAAGTGCATGGTTGATCGAATGAAAGCAGGATGGGACGTGAATGTGTGAAGAATGAACGAGTCAATTCATAATAGTTGTGACCGCAGCACTTACAGCAGTCCAGACCAAACTCTCATCTTCCTCGTCTGCTTTCCCGCCGGGTAACGCTGTCTGCCCTGGGTGGGCACGCAATAACTTGGACCGTGTGGTCAATAGCACCCTGAGCTCTCCAGCCTGCTCATACAGCAGAACAAGTACAGCTGCGAGTTTGCACGTTGGTTGCCGGGAGCTGCATGCGGAGTCATAGGTGGTGAGCAAGAACCGTGCGAGATGACTTACAGGTCAGGTCTGTCTAATTGACACGTCCTCAGACGTTCGATGCATGCTCTAGACTTTGGGGTGAGACGCTTGAGCACATGTGTTGGTATGTCCCGTAAGCATTTCTCAGCGTCAGAGTCAGCTTCGGGCGCAGGCTTCGGGATGATGGTAGAGGAGAGAGCCATGACGCATGCGGGGGTTACCTTGAAACACAGTACCACCACCAGCACCGCCGTCAGACCAAGCAATAGCGTATTGACTTCAAGCTCTAATAATGATGGAAACGAACAAGGTATCGCGTACATAGTGGTACGAGAACTAGCTGGGTGGGGACCATCGGAGTAAATGCAATAACTTAAGGACCGATAACCTCGGACTCCCGCTTGTTCATTCAGAGCCACGACTCGGAACCCTGCAGGGACTCGGGGTTGTTGCGTGTATTTTGCTGCTGCACAGTGTCTGCTTCCGAGTCGGAGGCAGCGGCTAGTAGTATTGACTTCAAGCCTCTTCAAGCTCTAATAACGAAGGAAATCATCGCGTACAAGGAACGACTGTCTTCCATCTATAGGTTTAGCTAGGGGAGACTACACGTAAGTACATAGCACAAGAGCTAGCTGACGGTGGGTCCAGAGTAAAGAATATGTAAAGAACCTAACGTCCTTCCGCTTGCTCACTCAGGTGAGCCACGGGTCAGAACCCTGCAGGGGTTGCATGATGAGGCAAACCATGAGGTTTTCGTCATTTCTGCCATTGTTCAGTCTCTAATAGGCTAATGGAATAGCTTCCTCCGCGGAAAAGAGAACAGAACAGGACCGCTCATATCATAGGAGTACAAGAAATAACACAAGAATGAAAGCGTCAGCTAGCTAGGGGGATATGATAAAGATATAAATAAATAAAACAAGCTAGCCTCTCCGGCGTGGTATCCTCGATACTGGCTGGCTTAGTCCGTCGTCCTCAACGCCCCGCACGTATCCTACGCCCATAAATACTGGGACACCGCCCGCACCGCCCCCAGATAGGAATCCGCGGCGTGTACTCCCAGTGCCTGTCCCCATCAACTCCCCACTCTCTAGTCCCAGCTCTACAAGCCGATCAGATGACCGAGCCCTCGCGAGCTCTTCGTCCAACGTCAGTCGCCGTTTGCCCTTGCCGTTCGCTGCGGTATCGCGTGTGGCTAAATTCCCTGTGACTCTGGGCTGAGGCTCGCGTCGCCACTTCAACTTCGGAGGGAACGCCAGCTCGTCTTCATCTTCTTCCTCGTCATCATCATCATCCTCATCAAGTAGCATGAGACTCTTCGGTTCGGCGTTGCACCTCTCTTCGTTCTTTCTGGTGTCGGTAAGGACTTCTTCCCCTTGGCTCGTGCAGGCGCACGCAACTTCCTCGGCGTTGGCACAGGCAACGGCGACATCGGTGGGCGTTTCCTGAACATATCTCCTTGTGGGCGTGAGGGAGTGATGGGTTTATGTGCGGGTTCAATATCTTCCATGTCCACATCGATGATTTCTATAATCTCGTCATGCCTACTCTGAGCTACAGCAGACCTCGGTCCAGGTGGCGTTGACGGCATCCTACCATCCGCGTCCCCTCCATTATCAGAGCACAAAGATGGTGTGGTGATATCTGTTTCATTCGATAGGGAGGAGTGGTTTGCGAGCGATGGACCTGTAAGGGAGAAAATTGACCGTGTAGAACCAGAGGAAAATTCGTGTGCTTTAGAGGATGAAGATGAAGAGGTGCTGGTGTCTGATTGGGCTTGAGCACGGGTGCCTGAACGCCGTTTCGAAGTAGACCCTCCTTCCGAGTCGCCTAGGACATCTGCTTTGCGCTTGTTATTTATGCGTGTGCCGATTGTGTTGGACGAGGGGGCAGGGTTAGCGGATGAGGATTTTGGCACGGTTGAAGTAAAAGTTGGTTTGGGAATGCTTGAGGTAGAAGGTATTCTCGAGGTGGACGCCGGTTTACTCCCATTAGAATTAGGTTTCGAGGAGCCTGGAACAAGACTAGAAGCAACTGAACCAACAGGCACTTTCACGCCCATCGATTTGCGCCTCCCCGCATCCACCTCTCTTCGCCCTTCAGCTCCAGCAGTACTCACACTCCGACTCAACCCACTCGGTCCAGGTCGATCACCCGCGGGTCGATCACTAACGCTCCGATTCAATCCCCCGGGTATAGACCCCCACTTTCCTTAACCGCACAGTCCTCATCTCGTTCAGGAACGCAGCCATTTTGTCACTGGGGGACGTTGACGGTTGGTTGTCTCATTTTGCCGCTCGCCGACCTTGCTGACGTCGTTTGTGCTCACGGTGGTACTAGCCTCGGTTGGGCGCAAGGCAGCGCGCGCACTTGCGAAGAGAGCGCCGCTTTCGCCTAGATGAGGAAGGAGGGGGATGCGGACGCCAGGAGGAGGTGGGAGTGGAGGAGGAGGGGGTGGGGGCGGCATTGGGACTTGCGTTTGGGGTGTGAGAGGGAGGAGGAGAACGGCGGCGACGGGAGAGCTAAGATAGAAAATGTCCAACGCGTCAGCATAAATAGAGAAAATAAGATGCAGTGATATACCTCTTCTTTCAACATCCTTACTTCCTCCTCCAATATTCTAATGCGCTCTTTATCCTTCCCGCGGTCTCCATTATTCGTAGTTTTACTCTTCACTCCCGTCTCGCGTCGTGCAGCATCAAGCTGTTTTTCTTTATCCTGTACGCGATGGTTGTCGAGGATAAAGGCCAAATCCTCATCTCCATCATCAACAGCACGTTCTTTTCCCTTCCGAGAAACACCACCCAAGGGCGAATGCAACCTTTCCAGTATATCGCCTGGGCTCTCCGGATCTACAGGAACCGCCGGACTGGCAACTACTAACAACGAAAAGTCCCTCTCTTCCCCTCCACTCGCAGTGAACCGTTGAACTGCATCGTGGACGGAGGCGATGGGACGGGTGCGCCAGGGAGAAGGACCGGTTCTGTCTGCAGGGGTTGCATTTTGAGAATTGGAGGAACCAGGTTCTGATTCCTGTGTGTCGAGAGCTGAAGGAGTACGGGGTATAGGATTTGGGTTTCGTTCATGGGTATGGGTATCTTCAGAAGCAGACAAGAATCGCACTCTCCTGGTTTCCATCTCTTCGTCGTTGGGTTCAGGTTCGAGTGAATCGGACCGGGGGAAAAGCGAGCCAGGCATTGTAATGGAGGGCTTTTTTCGGAGTAGGGGGTATGCTAAGGAAGGGAGGGAGGATATAGACTGTAGATTTGAGGAAGAGGAATGATTTGGTCGAGATGAGGATGGATCTTGGGGAGGGTGTCCTGTAGAAGTTGTTTCCTCTTGAGGACGGGCTTTTCCCGCCTCGCGAATGGCTATTACGTCGTGGAGATTGAGAGCGGGAGGTCACGCTAGGTGTTAATTCTGTAGAGGTACATCAGCATCGGCGAGTGCATGGATCGAAGGAGTTCGAGAGGCTGGACACAAGACTCCACCACCGTCTGCATCCTCAGGCCGATCTAGGCACTTCTTCCGCCCATAGCCATCAGTTGACCTCGATTTTGCCTGCTTCCCATCTGAACTGGACCTCGCTTTGGTTTTCTTCGTACGTGATCGCGAGGGTTCACGGGACTGAGACTGGGTGTGCGAGTAAGTGCATTCAGCAGACTGTGAACGAGCCGGAGACCCAGAGGAAGCGCGTTTTCTTTCCATCCCTTCTCTCTTTTTCCCTCCTGCTACGACCACGACTATCAGTGCTTGATTTCCTCCGATCTTTCGTCTTCTCTGTTCGCTTCTCGCCACCACCCTCAACGCTTCCGCTAACCTCTCTCCACTGCTCGATCATACTCCCATCATAGCCCTTTCGTTGCCTGCCTCGCTCTTCCTTCTCTCCGTGTTGCCATTTGCCATCACGTCTGTGTTTTGGTTTGGATGGACCAGACTATGTTCGTGATCGATTTTCAGTTCAGTTCAAGGGTCGGTAGAGAAAACTGAACACACCTCAGCTGCACCTGTAGCATTGATCACGAACTCGCCAATCTCTCGCGAGACAAAACTGAACACATTTGAGAGAATTCCTGGCTCGCTGTGTCTGGGTCCTGGATCGTGGCGGTTGTGATGGGTCATTGCATGCGTATTGTTTATCCTGTAGAACGTATGTGACTTCTCGCGATACGAAAAATAAGACGCGTTAGAACGGATGGTTGAATATTGACGCCAGGGACGAGGACGAGGAGGCTTGTGTTGAAATGTATTGATCGGGCGTGGGATAAACAAACGTACACAACACGCCTTGTTTACCTTCGCGTCTGATTCCTATTGTCTATTTTCGCGAGTCACGACCAACTCAAATTAAAGCTTGCTTCCTCTGGCGCACGCGTAAGCTGCGGCGTTGAAACATCCAAGGATTACTTGGCTGAAGGGATGGTGGCCAGGATTCAGCCCTACTAGTAAGTACTTCTGATGCACTCCGTTAGGTTGAGTTCAACTTCGAACGACACAGTCGGCGTTTCCCGAATTAAATGATCATATACTGACCTCATGCGCCATGCACCGCACTTCCAATCGATAAGCAAGCACCACTCTCAGACTACAACCACCATCTTACTCATGCAGCGGGAAACAGTCGGGCAAGCAGGCTCCGTTCAAGCTTTCCCTTCCAGTAAGATCAACCTTGATGGACGGCGTCATCACGGTTCTCCTGGTCCAGTGACGCAACATCGTCAGCATCCGCACACATCCCTGAGAGGGAACCATCTGTGAATCATGTTGGTGTATTATTGAAGCTTCCTGTTTACATGTGTTCTAGTGATGCGAACAGTGGCGGACCGCACCCTGCTTTGATTATAGCAGGGAATGATTATCTTCGAGGGAATACTGATACTCGTAAGGATCACACTGTGGAATACCCTTTCTTTTTTTCTCATCTTGTCGTGGGCCTTCCGGTAACGCAGGACATTGATTCAGAAAACTCCGAAAGCTTATCGCGCCAAGTTGGGTTGTGACACGTGCAGAATCCGCCGGAAGGTAGGTCATTGCGTGTCACCCCTTTGATCTTCGATTGCCTCGTCGTCATTGGACGCTCATTGACCTCTTCCTAGAAATGCGACGAGCAGCCCAACGCAAAGGGCAGCTGACAAACATGTGTTCGCCTTCGTCCTCAATGTCTCGGTTTTGGCACAAAGCGCCCCGAATGGATGCGGGCCTGAACTGAGGTAGACCTCGGTCCAAGTGGCGTTGACAGCCTATCATCCGCATCCCTCCTAGCTCGTTATCAGAGTACAAAAAGGGTGCGGTGTTGTCTGTCTCGTTCGATAGTGAGGAACGGTTCGCAAGCGATGAGCCTGGGAGGGAGAATGGAGAAGAAATTCGCGTGTCATAGAGGACGAAAATGAAGAGATACTCGAGTTCATTTGGGCTCAAGCATGTGTGCCCGGACGTCATTTCGCTTCCGATTCACCTAGGAAATGTGTTTTGCATCTGTTGCTCATGCGCGGGTCGGTTGGGTTCGGCAGGGTAAGTGGGTGGGTGAAGGTTTCGACGTGGTTGAAGTAGAAGTTGGTTTGGAATTGCTGGAGGCAGAAAGTAGTTTTGACCTCCCACTAAAAGTAGAATCTGGTTTTGGGGTGCCAACTGCCCCTGAAGCAAGGTCGGAAGTAGTTGAACTTGAACATACCCGCTTTTGAAGTCGAGGCTGAATCAACGGACACGTTGACACCCATTGACCCGCGCCTTGCCGCCTCATCTTTCTCGCGACGGATCAATAGTAAAGAGGACATAGTCACGTACCTCCTCAACTTTCAACATCCTTACTTCATTCTCCAGCATCCTAATGCGCTCTTATCCCTCCCGCTCACCAACATCTGTGGATGCATTGTTCACCCCAGTCTCGCGTCGTGTAGCGTCAGGCTGTTTTTCTTCATCCTGTACGCGATGATGGTCGAGGATAAACGCCAAATCATCATCCTAAACTGCATGATCATCAACTGCGCATTATTTCCCCTTCCGCGAAACATGACTTACTGGCGAATGTGGATTTTCCGGTATGGTGCATGGGGTCTCGAAGACATGCTGGACCGAGGGCTGGCAAACACAGGCCGCGTCGTGGAAGCAGGGGCTTCGGGTGCCATAGGAGATGTCCGAATACCCGGACAGCCTCGTTTGTCTATGCCGACGTGGCTTAAAAATGATTGTCTGCGAGTGCATAATCGGTTGATCGAGGAGATGAGGCATGACTCGTCGAGGATGCCCACATGTTACGACCGTTATACATTCTACGACGGAACGGATAACTGCTTTCTTGCGGCACGAGCTTCATATAATGGTTTCGCGGCTGGCATTTTCCACCAGCCTCAATACTTTGTGTGGCTCCTTAGGTGGACCGTATACCATGTCCAGTGTGCAAGGAGGCTAAGCGGAAAGGTGCAAAGAAATCTGTAATGTATTTGCAGAAGCACGGTTTCGTTTATAGTCCACGTCGGGTAGTTGATGTTGACCGTAATATTTTTATCAATCATCGGATTTCAATATCGCTGTGGGAACGAGGGTTGCCCCGAGAACTATCACCTACGAGACGGGCCCATACAATAAAAGGCGACCATCCGAAACAGCTGTCTGAGATGCAGGAGGAGACTTTCGCGTGCATCGCATACACATGCAAAATTTGAAAGTCGAGGAGTGATGTGCTACCAGGAGTAACACTCCAATGTGAGGAGCAGATGATGATCCATGCAGCCCCATAAGAGGATAGCTATTGCGGCAATGGTGTTATTGAGTATTCCCAGTCAGATCCGATTTAGTGGCGATAAAGTTGAAAGACTCCACTATCTGGCATCTTCCGCCAAGTGATGCATCTGTAAAGCTATGCCAAGTCGGAAGCTGAGAACGCGAAATGATCAACCAAGACATGAGGAGCGTTGTGGTTGTAAGTAGGCTTTGCAACGAATGAGGTTTGAACCCCACATCTTGGCACAGGCCATCCGATGCCGTGGTGGCAGCAAATTGCAGTTGAACTGCGGGATGGTTGTCACAGCCATCAATGCGTTATAAATAGGAAAATGCACATAAGTAGCGCTAGTCGCAGACCCGAGCGCTTCGTCTACACAGCACTAGGTGGGAAGCGAACACGAGGATAAAGCATGGGACGTACCTTAAAAGACAACTTAAACGAATTCGACGGGTGCCTGACTTCCCCGACTCCAGACCAAACGGCCATTTCCCCAGCTTACAGTTCGTGCCTCTCGCCGGTCATTGAAGCACTGAGCTGGTCTGAACGGCACTCCTAGACATCCATGTGGTTCGATGTATATCCCTTGAAGTACTCCGTTCGCTCTATGGGTCCACTGCCCCCATTGACGGCAGAACGGAGCTCTCTATGAGGATGACATGGGGTGCTCGCCCATGTGGTTCAATGTGCTCCCCTTCGCAACGCTGATCCGTGGTCCCAGACGGCGCCCTGAGCTCCCAATCAGACCGATAAGATTGACGTGTCATCGTTTTATGTGCGGGTATGATATCTTCCATGTCGAATACCCTCGTCATACGCAGCCTGAGCTGCAGTAGACCTCGGTCCAGGCGGCGTTAGCAGCCTATCATCCGCGTCCTTCCTAGCTCATTATCAGAGCATAAAGAAGGTGTGATGTCTGTCTCGTTCGATAATGAGGAACAGTTCGCGAGCGAGCCTGGCTATGGAAGATATCGAAACCGCACATAAAATGATGACGCCGTCGTCAATCCTATCGGTCGGATTGGGAGCTCAGGACCCCGCAGCAACAGATCCACTGTATGTACACTTTCCCCAAGATTGCGGCTTCACAATTCAGGGGGGGCAGGGCACTTTTCCCATCAGGACCTGCAAGACTAGTCAATAAACCGTATTAGCAAGACGGAATGACTTACTTGAAGCACGATGCTATCAAATGAGTAGATGTCACTCTGAGGAGTGATTGCAGAGCCTGATTAAAGAAGTTCAAGAGCTGTCCACCTTACTGCTCCTGGATGACAGCTCATCTTTGCGAGGTATGTCATCCCGTGCAATTTCATTAAGATTCCTGATGGGCCAAAGTCTGCAAGATATGTAGTTCTATCACTACCGATGAGGACGTTGGTCTCGCAGTCGATAGTATGAGGGTTTGGAATAAATGAGGAACCTTACAACAGTGAGGTCTCCGTGGACGACTGGGTTGGGGTGCGTGTCACGGTGTACGTCTGTAGTGAGGCTAAATGTATAAACTGAGGGAGCGAGATATTAATTCTGGCTATGCGGATACCTGTATTCACTCACGATAGTTGAGGCCAGCGGCTACGTCACGGAGCTTGGGATGAAACGATGAGCTTGAGGGCGTTAACCGGGAAACTCCTTGAAGGCCTCGCCAGATGAAAACAATCGCGCGGAGTGAGCGTCTGTCATGTATTGACATATATGGATGTTGACGATGTCGCGTTGACGGACGAGGAGAACTGGGACGATGCCGTGCAGGAAAGTTAGTCGTATTAGAAGGAGAAAACGCGCCAAGAAGCATAGGCTGACTAGAGCCTGGTTGCGCGTCCATCTCCCGCTGCATGTGTTCGAGGGCAGTTGTAGTCTGAGGCACCAGAGGTGTCATTTAGACCGGTTATGAGAAAGGTAATACAATGCTGCGCGCAATGGAGATCAAATAGAGTTCTACAATTCTGATCTAGCTAAAGATCTATCCGAGGCACTAGGTATTGGAGATGAGGCCTAGGACAACATGAAGATTGTAACAGAAAAGGCAACAAAGCGTGCACTTCTCGTGCGCTTCGGTCTCCCCGGGCTGTGCACTTCCTGCATTTGCAAAATCCCCTAAGATCTGTTGCAATTACTATCTTCTCATCCGCCGCACTGCTGATCTGCAATTTTCGGTTTTCTTCTCCATTCAACGTTGTATTCAACTTCATTGATCACTCTAGCGAAGTGCATCTGCGGTGCACTGTGGCCATAAGATGGGGACGGCGCGAGCTGCATGTTGTGATAGAGGTGAGGCGCTTGAGTAGCTTGCCACTCATCCGCATTGTCGGGCATATGATAGTCATAGTCATAGTCATAGGTGATGTGGTTAGGAAATGTCCAGTTTGGCGTGTCCATTACACGCACTGCTATTCACCCTGAGATCAGTTCACCTGAGACTATAGCCCCACTCAATTCCATTTTATTTCGCCCATTTTATTTTTTCGTGAACGAGTATCTATTGCTGTGTGAACAAGCAAGTGAGTAAAAAATAAAATGATATATTTGTGTTTGTTCAACACTCGTCATCGCGGGGTTTCAACAATGCGAGTGCGGGGATGCTACTCGAAATCTCTAGGTATAATCGTCATAGGTCACGCGTCATGGCGCGTTTACGACGTCTCGGACGCCGGCCACTGAAGCACTATCAGTCTACAGCTAAACAGCTTGAGGTCCTCGCCATTGCACAACTCGCCACAGCAGAAGATGACGATGACGAACTTCTCGGCCTTGTTCTTGCAGGCCTCGCAGCAGACTATAGACGGAAATCGCGAAGCAAGAAATACGGCATGCGTGGAGAATACAACCAACCGAAGTCTAAGGACTTCTTTGATATTCTACTTGGACAGGCTAGTGAACGGCAGTTCAAAGCCTGGTTTCGGTAACGAAAATTTTCACTTATGTGTTCTACATTTTCAACAACTAACTAACAACTAATAGAATGCACAGAGAATCATTCTGGCATCTCCACAACTTGATTACGGATTTGTGCATGATCGAGACGGCCCTTCATCAAGACACATGCAATCTACACTCGTATATGTAAGTGAGAACATACTAACACAAAAAATCAGGCTCACATATGTAAACGTGGTTGTCTGTGTGAGCTTGAATGTCGGCCAAACCTCTGGAGAGGTAATGTACTTCACAGCCTTCAGTTTATCTTCGTCAGAAAATACTCTCGCTTCCAGCTTCACAGGTGTCCCGGCAACTTTTGCAGGTGTAGTGTTATGACCAGCGTCCCTTAACCTAACTAGTAGGTGTCTGGAGTATGGATCACACCACAGGACTCAGTCTGAAGAGGATAAGGCAAGGGTAGTATTGAGAGGGAACGTCTAGGCCCTACGATAACGTAGAAACGAGGAGGTTAAGTCTAAGGAGTACTACTGACTACTACCTAGACTATATACTACTATTGGGGCGGAGCTATCTGAGTATGAAAGGTATGTGATATAACTATATTCGGTCATAACATTGCACCTAGGGTATAGGGCGTCTTATCAACCAATCAACTACAAGAAGAGAAGGGTAAAGGGTTCATAGGGCCAAGGGTATCGGTGATTAAGCAGGGTTCTCAGGGACTGCTTCTATTCAGGGTGGACGGAGATTAAGAAGGGTGTGAGAGAGTTCTGTGATAAGAAGTCTCAAGCGGTGATTAAGGATCTCGATTAGAGATAGGATCTTGGGATCTAGATCTAAGAATCTAGATAGGATCTGGATCTGGAGATGTATCGGGTACGATCGGATCTAAGGGTTCTCCAGGGTCTTCGGTAATGAGCATGCTTCTCTATGAGCGGTGCTTCTGTGATAGGGGTTCAGGGTTTAGCTGTGACTGTGCAACAGGTTCTTATGTAAGGGGTTCGGTGAATGACAGAGGTAACTCTTAATGTGTCATGTGTGAGAAGTGAAGGTCTGCGATGTGAAGAGGTGATAACTCTTCAAGAGATAGCCGTAGAGGACTCTTGGTTATGGTTCAATCATAGAGGCGTATAGATGCTTATGATGTAACCCGTTGCCTAATCGTAGGACTTCTAAGGATATGATGAGTTCGGTTATCTAGGGTCACGGATATAGATGGATGACGTCGATATAGTATAGATGTGAATTCAAGATAGTGATCGTTAATCGGTTATCCATCTTATCTTATCAGGGATCTATCTAATCTAATCTTATCAGATAAGGTGACTTAGGGTTTGATAATCGAAATTTAGGTGCAGCTGGTAACATTCATGACATGTAGCTCCAAGTCCATTGGCTTCAAGCTTTAGATCAGCCCGGCTTAGCTGGCTCTCTGCAAGCTTCGAGATCTCGTCATCTGAATTTCCCGAGGTATGTCTATTTCCTTCACCCGATTTGCTTCCCGTGCCTCTGACTACCTTTGGTTTTGGGATGGGGAGGGACTTGGGGAGGGACTCGGGGACACTCTTTGAGGCTCTCGGCTTCGGAGTCACTCGTGTGCGTCCACGTCGTGCAGGAATTTTCACAGGTGTCAGTGCAGTGCTCTCAGCTGCAGGAAAGTCCCAATGAGGTTGGTGGCTCGGTGTGGTTTGAATTTGCAACGGAACGATGTTGTAGCCATCCGGGCGCGTTTTTCGAGGGGACCGACGAAGACCAGAGGCTGGATCAATGTAGAAATGAGGTTGGCAAGCAGGTGTGCTGGGGCAGGGAATCTGGTGAGTGTTGGCATGCTGGATGAGATTCCCGGTGTCATACTGATTGAAGGACGAGGGCATCAGATCAGGGGGAAGCTGTGCATGTCCATTGTGCATAGTAGTAGGCGCTTGCTCGAATACATCCGGTACTTGCGGGTATGTGTTTTCGGTGGGGAACGTCCACTGGAATACATCATCCATGACCGTCAGTGTTGAACTTCGAGCCTTCGGGCTGCGTCGTTCGATGTGCCGCCTCGGCATATTCTAATCTCAGCAAGTGCTGCTGTGCCATCAGAAATAAAATAAAATGCTCGACCTCAATTACAACACATTTTATTTCTCTCAAGTTCGCACAGCCTGTCACTTGTAAATTGCTTGTAGAAAATAAAATGGGTGAAATAAAATGGAATTGAGTGGGGCTTATAGTACCAAACAGGGTCCAGGATCATCTGACTAATGATGGCAATAGACTTCTTTTAAGCCTGTAGAATACATATGTCCCGACCTAGCTAATTATAGCTCATTCCAATTTCCAAGTACTGCTGCACTGCTGCAAGTACTTCCGACTTAAAAGCAAGCAACCCCAGCTTACAACTGGACCGTCAATTTCCCCGTGATCGATTCATAACCCAAAAACCTTCTCCCTCCTCTGCCACTCAGTTAAAACTTGCTACGTATCGATGACAGCGTTTATTCGTGAATTTTTCACCCAAAGTATCCTGCGCAGGTACACCGCCACGGATGGTCGCCATCTCGCGCCGGAGGTTCCCGTTAAAGGCCCCATTGACAAGATGTTGAATAACCTCGATTCCATTATCGCTACAAAGGTGCACTCCCTTCCCACACTCATAAATTCTTTTAAGAGCAGCTTCACGTGATACATCAGAACCTTGAGCAATACATCGATCAACCACCTACTGCCTATCCCACTAGCTATGTCGCTCGCTCGCTCATCCCAATCCCCATCCCAGACTTAACGGGGCTCATCACCCGACTCTATCAAGACCCTATTGGCTTCGGCGCATACGGTAATATTTACCAATGTGTATACCACGGACCAGAAGGCGATGTACAGGTTAGCAAGGACATTATAGTTCTTCCTACGATTTCCACGATTTCTGAATACTCACTCGAAGGTCGCCGTAAAAGCAATTCGGTCACAACCCACTAATCAGCTTCCTGTAACCTTTCGGAGAGAGCTCGGTATTTGGAAGAGGTTGCGGCATGATAATATCTTGAAGTTCATGGGTACTACTCGGGACTTTGGTCCGTTTCTGGCATTGGTTGCACCTTGGATATCCCACGGTACTCTGACATCGTTCCTCGACAAAAACAAGACCCTCATGCAATGTGATCGTCTGCTTCTGGTGAGGACTTCAAAGACTTTCTTGGTTTGCCCCCTCGAGCTCATGTTTCGTGCCCAAGTTCCGTGACGTAGGCCGCTGGCCTGGACTATCGTGAGTGAACACAGGCATCCACGTAGCGAGAATAAATAACCATCTCCCCCAGTTCACACATTTAGCCTCACCATAGATGGTCACACGTACTCTAATCCAATCGTCCACGGAGACCTCACTGGTGTAATGTGCCTCATTTGTTCCAATCCCTCGTACTAATGATCAACTGCCAGTAACAATGTCCTCGTCGGTAGTGATAGAACTGCATATCTTGCAGACTTCGGCCTTTCAGGAACTTTAACACAATTGCCTGGCATGGCGTACCTTGCGAAGAAGAGCCACCGCCCAGGAGCAGTGAGATGGACAGCTCCTGAACTCCTCTCTGTAGAAGAACCGGCCCCTGCAATCACCACTCAAGAGCGATATTTACTCCCTTGGTAGCATCATGCTTCAAGTAAGTCATTCCCTCTTGCTAATGCAGCTTACCTAACTCATCCTGCAGATCCTGACGGGAGAGTTGCCTTGGCCCCACTTGAAACGTGAAATCGCAGTCATGGTTACAGTGAGCACTGGTAATGAAACACATCCTCGTCCAGATCGTGTCACCAACCAGCAATGGGATTTTATCACTCGTTGCTTGTCCAAGACACCGATGAAGCGGCCTTCTGCCAAAGAAGCACTTCAATTTGTCGATCGCGAGCTGAGCTTGCTACGGTCGAGCGGTGGTGGTGTCGCGGCAGACACCTCTTCGTCCAATAACCTTCCATTTCCATCCTCTGCTCTCTAGTTCTCTTTCTCCATTCTTCGCCCGCTCCAGTTCTTCTTCTCATTTATGCCAATGATGTACTATGTAGAGTTCATTTTGCTGACTATCTACTCTCACCGCAGGCTTCCAGTGGATGAATCAAACACACTCTATGGTACAATTCTTGGCCTATGATTACTCAAGCTACAGTTTGGTTCGGTGACATCAGCCTCTTCGTATGCTGCACGGAATCTTGAGAGCACAGCTCGAGGCTCTGTATAGTTTTGGTGCTGTGTATGTTAAAACCAAAATTCTTGGAAACTCTATGCCCGTGAAGCAGTTGGTTGATCGTGATTAATTGACTCATCCTTCCTTTGACGATGCTCTACAGAATGGCGATGGTATTGTTCGAGAGGATTCCTGATTCGCTGATCGTGATGAGTCATTGCATCGTATTGTTTCTTTTGCGCAACGTGTGGGTTTTACGTAACCTTTGAGTCTGAGCTCGGGAGGATGGTGAAACGTTGAACCAGCAAACGCACGCAACACGGTTCACTTGTATTGTATTGTAGCTCAACTTCAAATTCGGAGGTGACGCCAGCTCATCTCCTTCCTCTTCGTTAAGCAACATGATACTCTTCGGTTTCGGCGTTGTAGCCCTCTTCTTTTTCTCTGACATCGACAGGTACTTCTTCCCCCAGGGGGAGCTTCCTCAGCGTCGGTATAGGTAGCTGAGAGACAGACAGGCGTAAGTGATATCTTCCATATCTACGTCGATGATTTCTATGCCCTTGTCATGTGTACTCTGAGCAGAAGCGGACCTCAGTTCAGGCGGCGTCAACGGCATCCTACCATGCGCATCTCCCTAAGCTCGCCATTAGATCTAGAGCACAACGAGGATGTGTATTCGTTCGATAGTGAGGAGCGGTCCGTGAGGGATGGGACTTTGCGTCTGTTACTTATGTGTGGCTCTGTTGCATTGGACGAAAGAGTAATGTAAATGGATGATGTCTACGCGGTTGAAGTAGACGATGATTACGGATTGCTCGTGGCAGAATGCAGTCTTGACGTGGACGCCGGATTAATCCTAACAATGTAGAAGCTAGTTTCGAGGAGCCAATCGACCCTGCAGCAAAGTGGGAAACAGCTGAAACTGAACCCGCTTTCGAAGTCGAAGATGAACCAACAGGCACCTTCGTACCCATCGACTTGCGCCTGCCCGTCTCCACCTCTCTGCCCTTCAACTCCAGCAGCAATCATACTCCGACTTAACCCACTCGGCCCAGGTCGATCACTAACTAACGCTCCTATTCAATTCCCCAGCAGACCACACTTTCCTTCACCGCACAGTCCTCATTTCGTTCAGGAACGCAGCCATTTTGTCGCTGGGGACGTTGATGGTTGGTTGTCTCATTTTATCGCTTGCTGCCCTTGCGACGTCATTTATACTGCCAGTGGTACTAGCCTAAGTGGGGTGCAGGGCAACGCGCGCACTTGCGAAAAGAGACCCACTTTCGCCCAGATCAGGAAGGATGCGGATGCGGACGCCAGGAGGAGGTGGGGTGTGGGTGTGGGTGGCATCGGGACTTGCGTTCGGGTCTGAGAGGGAGGAGGTGAACGGCGGCGACGGGAAAGCTGTGATAGATATGATTAACGCATCAGCATGACCGCGGCCATCAGTACTCGATTTTCTCCGATCTTTGGTATTCTCTGTTCGCTTCTCGCTACCACTCTCGACGCTTCCGCTAGCCTCTCTCCACTGCTCGATCATACTCCCATCAAAGCCTCTTCGTTGCTTGCATCGCTCCTCCTTCTCTCCGTGTTGCCATTTGCCATCACGTCTGTGTTTTCATTTAGATGGACCAGACTATGTCTGATTTTCAGTTCGGTTCAAGAATTGGCAGGTAGAATCAGAGAAACTGGAACACACCTCAGTACTACCTGTAGCATTGATCATGAACTCGCAAATCTTTCGCGAGAGAAAACTGAACACAGTTCCTGACTCGCTGGGTCTGGGTCCTGGATCATGGCGGGATATGGCATGCGCAATGTTTCTCCCGCGCAACGTGTGCGTTGTAACCCATTGCAGCGAGTTATAACAGATGCTTGAATGTTGACGCCAGGGACCAGGAGGGGGTTTTGTGTTGAAATGCAACACGTCTTGTTTACTTACCCTCGCGGCTGATTCTTATTCAATGTCTATTTCGCAACTGGCACAACTTGAAGCAACTCAACTCAAGCTTGCTTCTACACAGCCACTAACCTCAAGATCTCATGCACACGCACCGCATTTCCCTCGATAAAACAAGTACCACCCGACCACAACGATCATCTTGTGCAGCTGGAGATGGATGCGCAACTAGCCTCTAGTTCTAGCCAGGCTTTCCCTCCTGATACAATTTCTTCTTTCAGCACGATCAACCTTGATGCACGGCGTCGTCTCGGTGCTTCCCGTCCTGCGGCGCAACATCGTCCACATCCATACATAATCCCTGAGAGGAAACCGTTGGGGCATCTGTAAGTCATGTCAGCGTGTTATTGAAGCTTATGTTTGCATGCGTTCTGGTGATAGAATACCCGCTACTGTTGGTCGAGTTCCCCAGCGCGGCGGAGCACCCTATTGCAGCTCACAGTTGCAACAGTCAGCCGGTTCCACTTCAAGTTTTGGAACGAACCCTGGAGTTAGCCTTCCTTCGATGGCGGATCAGCGAAGACTCGCCGGACCTGTCATGCATCAATCATTCCCACTTACCGCTGCCAATGTCGCTCCCTCCACTCGGCTTATCCCCCCAAACCTCATCCCAGACTTGACCGAGCTTATCACCCGATGCAGCCAAGACCCCGTCTCTGGAGGTACATACGGAAATATTTACAAATGCATATACCATGGACCAGATGGCGATGTAGATGTTCGTGCCGATGTTACAGTTCTTCCACTTTTATTGACGTATCACTCGCCCGCAGGTCGCTGTCAAAGCAATTCGACCGCAATTCATCCATGATGAGGTAATGTCCTATAGCAGCAGGTAATGGACACATCTTGTTTAACGTTCTTTTAGGTTTTTCGGAAGGAGCTTGGGATTTGGAAGAGGTTGCGGCATTCTAGTATTTTGAAGTTCATGGGCACTACTTCGGACTTCGGCCCCTCTATAGCTTTGGTTGCCCCGTGGATAGCTAACGGCACTCTAACGTCGTTTCTCAACCAGAACAACAGGGCCCTCGCGCTGCTTGATCGTCTGCGTCTGGTGAGAACCTCAAGTGCGTTCCTAGTTTGCGCGGACTCGGGCTTATCGTTTCGTACTCAAGCTCCATGACATCGCCGCTGGCCTCGACTATCGTGAGTGAATACACAAATGTACATAGCAAAAATAAATAACTGTCTTCAGTTCATACATTTAGCTTCACTGCCGACGGAAACACGTACTTCAATCCAGTCGTTCACGGAGACCTCACTGGTGTAATATCCCTTATTTGTCACATCGTTCATATACTAATGATCAATTTCAAGACCAATATCCTTATTGACAGTGATGGAAAAGCATATCTTGCAGATTTTGGCCTTTCCGGAACTTTAGAACAGTTGACCGGCATGACATACCTCGCAAAGACGGGCTGTCATCCAGGAGCAGTTAGATGGGCAGCTCCTGAACTTCTTACTGGAGAGGAATCAGCCTCTGCAGTCACCACTCAAAGCGACATTTACTCATTTGGTAGCATCATGCTTCAAGTAAGTCGTTCCCTCTTGCGAGTGCAGCTCGCTCAGCTACCCTACAGGTTTTCACGGGAAATGTGCCATGGTGTCACTTGACCCGTGAATTCCAGATCACGTACCAAGTAGCTATTGAGGAGAAACAACCCCCTCGTCCAGACAGCCACTGTGTCACTGAACAGTACTGGAATTTTATGACCCGGTGCTGGTCTAAGACACCCATCGACCGACCGTCTGCCAAGGAAGCACTTCAATTTGTCGAAAGCGATCTCACTCGGAGCGGTGCCGATGGTGGCGGACAGCACCATGCCATCGTTCCCGTATCTAGAAGTGCACCTCCCCTCGTTGATCCGTCCCCTTCATCAACACAGGAGCGACACCCGGGTGTAGCACGGAATGATTATTTTCGAGGGAATATCGATGCTCGTAAGGATCACATCGTGGAATACCCTTTCTTGTTTTCTCATCTTGTCGTAGGCCTTCTGGTGATACAGGACATTGATTCGCCATCGGACGCTCAAGAAACTTATCCTGCGGTTATGCTGCCTGCGTATCCGTCCTCCAGCTTAGAACCATCATGTAAGCCCCCGTATCGGTATTAAGTATCTGTGTGTATCATGGTACTCAAGCCCTCCTTTTTGCAGGGCCGCAATCAAGCGCGTCGATACTACCTTGGACTTACACCAGCGACTTCTCTCCAATGTACAATACACACTGGCTAGACGACGAAAATTATACCACCATACCCTCTGGATACCCCTTAACCGCCCCCGTTAATACCCTCCATCAGAACTTTGACCTGAACGTCCACCAAACCAGTCAATTCCCGTTCAATTTCCCCTCACATTCGGATCTCTGGGATAGCATAAGAAACGATCAATCCACAGCGGACTTCTCACAATCTGCAGGTCATTCCGACTACATGCAGAACCACAGCCTGGGCGAGCTTTTTGACGGGACGAGGGAGGATATTGCGAAAAACATACTTGCATCAGGTGACTCGCCATTCGCGAGTTCGTCATTTACACAGCCCCTGGTGCGCAAGAATTCTCAGGGAGGGAATATGGTCCCTTGCGAGGGCTCAAACTTCCCGAAGGCGAAGGAGAGTCCGGCAAATATCGAAGTTCTGAAAGCGTGGCGAACGATCACGTCGCATCCTCAGTTTAAGGTGGGTGTCGAATCGTTTGGTGGGTTGGCTTTTGTTGATTTGTGTTATTTGTAGGACGCGGATATCAATGAGCTATGCACTGAGTTTACGAAGAAGGCACGGTGTGACGGGAAAAAGATCGTTTTAGAGCCAGAGGGTGTGCATGATATCTTGGAGACATTCAAAGCAAAGTCGTTGGCTCAGAAGCAGCAGCAACAACAGTTAAAGGAAATGTTGTCCTTGTAGATTCCAATTACGACCTCTCTCCATCAGCTGGTCATGCGTGCCTTGTTCCTGGACAGATTCCTCTATGTACCTACAATTAATGAACGTGTCAGCGAGAGGTATTGGCATTCAAGAAAGACCAAAACTCACAAAATGAGATCCGCATGTCGGATGAAATTTTTAAACCGATGAGTGGAGAACATCATGGTCTTGATGCCCTTCAACTTTCTGTAGACACACGAAGAGTGTACGTACTTGGGAAAATGAAAATTCTCTCCCTCAGTCCATACGTTTAGCTTGACTGAAGACGGCTTGAATCCCGTCATTCACGGAGACCTCACTGATATAAGGGTTCATATTTATTCCATCCATCATAATGTCCTAATGATCAAATGCAAGACTCGTCGATGGTGATAGAAAGGCGTATCTTGGAGATTTTGGCCTTTCGGGAACTTTAAAACAGTTGACCGGCATGACACACCTCGCGAAGATGAGCTGTCATCCAGGAGCAGTGAGATGGGCAGGTCCTGAACTCCTTACTGGGGAGTAGACTCGTGACCAGCCCCTCTATGAGGCAAGCCATCGATATATGCTACGCCAATATTCCATCTCTATGTTAACATACTATAAAGATTCGTGTAGTATCGTACGAGCATCTCAGTTCCTTTCAGAGACTGAGATGTGAGTAACGTTGATTTTCCCCCTCTTACTTTACGCTGTTCTACTAGGTATATCACTTGTAGATTCAAGTCCCTTTCAGAGACTGAGATATGTATTGTTCTACTAGCTCTCTCGTCGCGTCCGCTCGCTTCTCATAACTACAGTACATACTATATGTACGGATGGATCTGTTTAATGCTGACGGAACGCCCGCGATACCATCTGATTGGCCACCTTTTCGGGCTCTCCAAGAGCAGTCACGATGAACATTCGCTCTAGGCGGGAGATAAGCGGCAGTGAGGTGACCGTGCCAAGATAAATGCGCGCATGGTAAGTAGTTGAGTCGTCATCGACAGATATCGTGCAATATTTATGTAGACAAAACTCCGATGTTTCGCTGGTGGTTTTCAGCTTCACGTAGAAGCGTGAGAGGTTGTGTGCAACACGTCCTGTTGTGCGTTTCCACGAAACGAGGACATTTGACAAACAGAAACGCAGCCAGATTGGCTCAAAAAGGTGAGGTGTCTCTTAGAAGGGATAAGCCGTTTCCAATTGTCGGGATCTCATAAAGCGGCAGTGCAGTTTGCGCGCAGGCAGAATCAGATGCTGTGGTGAGAAACAGTACGTACGTAAGGAACGATGGCAGAGGACTTGAAGAAGTTGAAAGCAAGTGAATAGAGAGAAAATTCGTCAAGAGTGAAAGTTACAGACATCGATAGCACGGGGTACGGGCAGATGAGACGACAGTGGGGAATACAGTCGATGAGGGCGTCCGCGAGCACGGGAGGGAGGGAAGGTGGTGATTGACGCTGGAACACGAGTAACGCTAATTATTTAAACAGCGAAGTGGCTGTGCTATATGGCTGACAATCTGCCAAGTTGAGGCTCGTGTTGTCCTCATGCATCATGTCTGTCGGCCACGCACCAGTCAAGTCCTGCCTCGGATCTTTAAGATCGGAATTTCCAGCATACAGCATGGTACTGTCACATATATTAAGTACCAGGAGTCGTCCCCAGCTGTCCGCAGTCTGGTTCCAACCCAAGTCGATAATTCTGAGACTAACGTGACAACTGCCCTCATACGCACCCGCTCAGCGTGTGATGTATGCGCAACCGGGCCCTAGTCAGGCTATGCGTCTGGCCGCAGTTTATTCTTCCAGTACGACTAACTTTGCTGTACGACATCGTCACCGTCAACATCCATACGTGATACCTGGGAGGGAACCATCGGCCCAGAGGCTGCCTATTCTTCCGCGACTGATACAGAGGAGGGAGCATGTGCGATTAGTCATACAGAACATCGAGAAAGATATCCAAACCATACTCGCGCAAACAGGAGGCTGTCCAGACGAAGCATGGACGGCAAAGTTGGAAAGAATGCATGTGAATCTCCACAAGAACAAGACTCTCTTGGTCAGAGGGGACCAGGCCATTCAGCAGACCTCAAACCCCAATAACATACTTGGAGCAAACCTAGCGCATCTGTGAGTCATGTCGGCGTATCATCCAAGCTTCCTATTGACACGCATTCAAGTAATACGATGGCCTCTGCTGCTGGTCCAGTAGGTATTATGCAGGGCGGTGGAATGTCCCAGCAACCCTGGCTGCAGTCAGTCAGTCCGACTCCAGGGTTTGGATTGAACCCTGGAATTGGCGCTCCTACGACAGATCAGCGAAGCGCCAATGGGATTCCACCCCCGCATATGGCTGGGACAAACCCCACGATACAGTCAGGACCCATTCTACCGCCAACTCAGGAACAGCTCGCACACGCAATGGACGTGATCCAGAATCTGAAACGAGTTTTCTCAGCAAGTGGGTCGTCCCTTCATATGCTATCCCCGCAGATTCTTATCTGTTTTGCGCAGAACCACCAACGATGCAACTGCACGCATTGCCAGACGACCAGCGAATGGAGTACAATCAGCTACTAGAGCGGCTTCACAAGATGACTCGGGACCTCGATGCCAAGCTACCAATGTACTGTATTGTTTTGGGGTCGGATGACATGATCCGCAATCTCGTCGCAATTGTGAGTACCCTTTGCGCGTGTGCATTTTGTCGCGTTAAGCGTGTCCTCTTTTCAGGTATCATTGGTGGCACATCAAAGGACCCTTCATTTGACAAGGTCAAACCTGGTCATAATCGATCCCTCCGCTCTAAAGAGCATGTATACCTTACTTCGGAATGCCATCGAACGCTTCGAACACCACATGATGGAATTCGCCATCGCCCCGCAACAAACGGGTGGTGAACTTGCCGATCTTCTCATAAATCGACCATTTCATCCACCCACCATTCCCAACGACATTCCCTCCACTCAGTCCATCCTCCAAATTTCCATCCCAGACTTAACTGGACTCATCACGCGATGCAGCCAAGACCCCGTTTCCGGTGGTACATACGGGAATATTTACAAATGTATATACCACGGACCAGAGGGCGACGTAATGGTTCGTACATATGTTACAATTCTTCTACGTTTACTGACGTATCGCTCACCCGCAGGTCGCCGTCAAAGCAATGCGACCGCAGTTCTTCAATACTAAGATAATGTTCGTATTTCGGAGAGAGCTCGGGATTTGGAAGAGGTTGCAACACCATAATATCTTGAAATTCATGGGCACAACTGAAGACTTTGGCTCCTCTGTGGCTCTGGTTGCTCCATGGATAGTCAACGACACTCTGACGTCATTCCTCAACAACAACAGCAAGACCCTCACGCTGCGTGATCGTCTGCTTCTGGTGAGAAATCCGACGACTTTCTCTGTTTGTGCCTTCGAGCTCATCGATCCATGCCCAAGCTCCGTGACGTAGCCGCTGGCCTCCACTATCGTGAGTGAACAGCCATCCCCATAGCTAAAATCAATAACTCTCTCCCTCAGTTCATACGTTTAGCTTCACTGTAGACGGACACACATACTCTAATCCAGTCGTCCACGGAGACCTCACTGGTGTAAGTTCCCTTCTTTGTTCCAATCCCTATACTAACAATCGACTGCCAGAACAATGTCCTCATCGGTAGTGATAGAACTGCATACCTTGCAGACTTTGGCCTTTCAGGAACTTTAACTAAATTGCCCGGTATGACGTACCTCGCGAAGATGAGCCTCCATCCAGGAGCACTGAGATGGGCGGCCCCTGAACTTCTTTCTGTGGAACAATCAGCGTCTGCAGTCACCACTCAGAGCGATATCTACTCCTTGGGTAGCATCATGCTTCAGGTAAGTTGTTTCCTCTTGCTATGCAGCTTGCTAACTCGTCTTGCAGGTTCTGACGGGAAATGTCCCTTGGCATCAGTTGACAAATGATTTCGCAATCTGGTTGAAGGTGATTGGAGGTGAAAGAAATCCTCGTCCAGATCCTTGTTATGTTACTGACCAGCAATGGTGTTTTATAACCCGTTGCTGCTCTGAGACACCCATGGGACGGCCTTCTGCCGGGGAAGCACTTGAGTTTCTTGAAAGCGAGCTCGCTTGATGCGGGATGTAATTCATTATTTCATATTTACAAGTGATTACCTGTAGTCAGTGACCCGCAGTTTGATAATATTATGGACTGACAACATGTTGAGCATGCAATCTACGTGGGATTTCCCCTTCTTAGCTGCTATCCGTGACCTATTCTTGCTTGATTCCAATCCGGTAGAATTCAGCGACAGCCAATTGTGACACGTGCACGCGCAGTGCATGAGGACCTCTGCACAAACCAGGAAACAAGAAACGGAGATCTAGCACCAGGAAAACGCTATCCGTGCTTATAATGTGATCTTTACGCTACCCGTGAATTTTGTCGCAGGGCCCGTCTTGATTCGCTCTTGTACTGGCAGAATCGGAATGACTGCATTCGGAATCGGCTTTGAGGGATTGGTACTTCCGAACGTTGTTTGGCAAAAGCCTTGGATCCAAACAAACCTCACGAGTCACAGGCCGTGCCACGCCATGAGGCGCAAGAACCACGACTTCGCGTTTCTTTGCACGACCTTCACCGTAGTACGACGTTTGAATTTCCTGCCAATGTGCCGTTACGACGGCATGTCTTTCGCAACCTCCTCTTCGCGCATGCCTCTCAATTCGCACAAAACAACTCGGGCATTCTATCCCGCTCAAGAAAAGGCGCAAATCACACTAGGCACACAGCAAGGAATCAAAACGAGCATGGAGTGGCCAGACGGGATTATCCAGGGCGGTGAGGCACCGCAGGAGTACAAGTTGATGACTGGGTCATTGTTGACAATGTAAGTTATATTACTGTCTTATATATACTTGCGCGACATTCGTTTTACGAGCCCGGTGATACTGCGGGACCATCATGAAGAAGAGCTGCGCCCTAGGCCTCGAGACCTATATCGAGCTTAGGAGGGACATGTCAGGTTCGAGGATGGTGTTTAATTTGATTGAATATACGGGAGGACTGATTCTCCAGGAGCATCGTCGCACTCCATATTGAGGCAGTTAACAGACCAGCTTTGTCATCTTATAGCGTGGTCTGAGGTATGCATCCATATATTTGTGACGCTATTAATATTGCGTTTGGCGTCTATTCTAATGATTGCAAGTTGTCGACCCAATATGGTCACTGGAGCGTAATTGTGGTTTGTCTGGGTTCGTTGCGATCGGATCAAAGCACCGCTTGAAAGGCGATTTCTACACCTGCGGCTTGTGTGTTTGCCATCGTGGACTTGTCGTGCTAAGCACCATGATTTAGGGCCGTGTCTGTGTTGATGATGCAACCCAAAAATATTGATTGGGGCAAGACACTCTTAATACTGATCACCGTCCACACCCCACACCTAATTTTTTGAAGCCCGTCGTGGTCATCACCAGTAGCTTTCGCGATGTCGTCTGGTACCGCGAGCACAGCGGCCTCTATAATTCCGCTTCTCCCGAGTCAAGAATAATTAAGCAGAGCACAAAAGAGTTATGCGAGGTGGGTCGAACCCAATGCAATCACTCATTCCTTTACAAACATTTGTGCGCAGTAGTCCTCGAAGGTAGGGTCAATAGAAATATGTGGCAGAACGTTTTCGATCCATGTTTCCAACGCGTCTGACATACTGGCGCTTCGCTCAGTTCGGATGCGTCAATAAGCTGTTCTGTTGCCTCGTCTTCCGAGCCGGATGCTGTTGTTATTTTGACGTCTTCTGATGAACACCCTGTGGCGGCTTTCATATCACATGGTACGTGCTTATCGTGATCTTGCAAGGAAGGTGATTCGAACAGGAGTCGGGGACTGACACGGCCGAGCGCCGCTACAATGAGTTAGCGGTTCCCGTTATATTATCTCCGAATTATGACCGTTATCTTCCCGAATTGTTACTCTTATGACGCTGAAATTCAATCCGAAGCAGGGCTAGTCCACAGGTCTAAGTATCAGACCTCTGGACCTAACACAGCAATTTGCGTAATACTCTCTGCCCCCCGCTCTGCCCCCCCGCAATGTCCCATTTTGACTGCGTCTTGGGCAGTACCCAAGGCATTGCATCACTAGAGCAGATCTTCTACACAGAACTTCCACTGCACACAGCCCGATCGTAATACATTATAATTACAGGATTACCATTTCGTCATCAGCTGTCTACAGTTCGCTACTTGCTTTTCCAGCTCGAGTCGATAACACCAAAACCACTAGTAGTCTCAGACTACAACTGCGCATCCAGCGGGTCATGGACGCGCAAACAGGTCCTTATAGAAAGGTCATGCGTCTGACCGCGTTCGATTCTACCAACTTCGCTGCACGGCATCGGAGCAGTTCTCCCCGTCCGGCGGCACGATATCGTCAACATCCATACACGATACCTGAAAAGGACCCATCGGCAGAGAGGCTGCTTACCCTCCAGAGGAGGGAGTATTTGCAAGGTATCCAAACCATACTCGTGTGATCAGTCATAAACTAACATTGAGCAAGGTACCCAAATCATACTACCCAATGAGACGCTTGGAGGAAACCGAGCGTATCTGTGAGCTATGTCAGCGTGTCGTTCAAGCTTCCTATTTACACATACTTCAGTAAATCAATGGCTTCTGCTGCTGGTCCAACAGGCGTTATACAGGGCGGCGGAGCGTCCCAGCAAACCTGGCCGCAGTCAGCCAGTTCGGCTCCAAGTTTTGGAACGAACCCTGGAATTAGCGCTCCTTCGGCTACAGATCGGCGAAGCGCCAATCATGTGGCCCCGGATGAGCAGCTGGGTATTCCCAGCACAACTCAAGAAGCCTTCCTGAAGCGGGTGCCAACTGCTGGTCTCAGCGTGGCCGCACCACAGGGACTGCCATCAATGATTCCTGACGAGATGCGACCCCCGCAGCTGACTGAGAGGAAGCCCACCATACAGTCCGAACCCATTCTACCGCCAACTCAGGAACAGCTCGCATACGCAAATGACGTGATCAAGAATCTGAAACAAATTTACTCAGCAAGTGGGTCGTCCCGTCATATTGTCCCCGCATATTCTTATCCATTTTGCGCAGAACCACCGACGATGCAACTACACGCATTGTCAGACGACCACCGAATGGAGTACAACAAACTACTAGAGCAGGTTCACAAGATGACCCAGGACCTTGATGCCAAGCTACCAATGTACTGGATTGTTTTGAGATCGGTTGATATGATCCGCAATCTCGTCGCAATTGTGAGTGCCCTTCGTGCGTCCGTACTTTGTGTCGCGTTGAACATGTTTTCTTAACAGGTGTCATTGGTGGCATATCAACGGTTCCGTGGTTCGATAGTAGGGTCATACTTGGTCATAATCGATCGCTCCGCTCTACAGAGCATGTATGGCTTACTACAAAAGGCTATCGAACACTTCGAACAAAGGCATCAGATGCTGGAAGCTGCCGTCACACCGCAACAAATGGGTGGTGGACTTACTGGTCCTATCATAAATCGACCATCCCCCCTACTTACCGCTCCCAGTGTCATTACCTCCACTCAGTCTATCCCCCCAATCCCCATTCCAGATTTAACTGGACTCATCACCCGATGCAACAAAGACCCCGTTTCCGGCGGTACATTCGGAAATATTTATAAATGTATATACCATGGAACAGAGGGCGATATAGACGTTCGTTCGGATATTGCAGTTCTTCTACGTTTACTAACATATCACTCACTCGCAGGTTGCTGTCAAAGCATTTCGGCCGCAATTCTTCAACACTGGGATGATGTTCGCATTTGAGAGAGAGCTCGGGATTTGGAAGAGGTTGCGACATCACAATATCTTGAAGTTCATGGGTACTACTCGGGACTTTGGCCCTCCTGTGGCTCTGGTTGCTCCGTGGGTAGACAATGACACTCTGACGTCATTCCTCAACAATAACAGCAAGACCCTCACACGGCGTGATCGTCTGCTTCTGGTGAGAACTTCAAGGACTTTCCCGGTTTGTGCCCTCGAGCTCATCGTTTCGTACTCAAGCTCCGTGACATAGCCGCTGGCCTCCACTATCGTGAGTGAACAGTCATCCCCATAGCTAGAATCGATAACTCTCTCCCTCAGTTCATACGTTTAGCTTCGCTGTAGACGGACACACATACTCTAATCCAGTCGTCCACGGAGACCTCACTGGTGTAAGGTCCCTTCTTTGTTCCAATCCCTCATACTAAACGATCAACTACCAGAACAATGTCCTCATCGGTAGTGATAGAACTGCATACCTTGCAGACTTTGGACTTTCAGGAACTTTAACTAAATTGCCCGGTATGACGTACCTCGCGAAGATGAGCCGTCATCCAGGAGCAGTGAGATGGGCAGCCCCTGAGCTTCTTTCAGTGGAAGAATCAGGCTCTGCAATCACCACTCAGAGCGACATTTATTCCTTTGGTAGCGTCATGCTTCAAGTCCGTCGTTTTCTTTTGCCAAAGCAGCTTACTAACTCATCCTGCAGGTTCTGACAGGAGTTGTCCCTTGGCATCAGTTGACAAATGATTTCATAATCTGGTTGAAGGTGATTGTAGGGGAAAGAAATCCTCGTCCAGATCACCATTGTGTCACTGACCGGCAATGGGACTTTATAACCCGTTGTTGCTCCAAAACACCCATCGAACGGCCTTCTGCCGAGGAAGCACTTCGGTTTGTTGAAAGCGAGCTTGCTTGTACGACCATGGCAATGATGCAATTCATTACCTCATACTAGGATTTGGCGCTGCCTTGCTTGCTTAGTCAGTAGTATCATTAACGAGTGCTGAGCCTCACATGATACTTAGAGCTAGATTATCACTCAGTTTTATTTTCTCGGGAAGAAAGTGTCGTTTTTTAAATTACGGAGACGTAGATTGAGAGGATTCGGAATTTCGTATTACTTATGAAAAGCAAGAGTAAAAGAAACTGAAAAAATAGCAGCTGTGTTACAACTTGTATTCATCCCCTCGATATGGCGAGTGGTCGAGAACCCGGAGGAAACACAAGATAAAATAGTCAGCATGCCGAACAGTGTAAGTACAGTAGTGCTACAAAAAGGACCTACGCAAAAGACACTTCTGAGTAAATACTCGAGCTCACTATCGAGGACAGCGAGGTCGGGTATTTGTTGTTGCTCAACTTTCCCGCTCATGGAGCGACTCCGCCTCAACACTCAAGAAGAAACATGAATGATCGCAGCCTAGGTACAGCGTATACATAGTAAGAATATCGTCAGCTCCTTGGAATAGACAAACCTTGTTAACAACATCATGCAACAACATCGTTCTGGTGAAGGAGATGGTTGGGAGGATCGAATGGGTGCCGTTTCCGTGCAAGGGTCCGGCAACTCGGGGACTGTGTCGAAGTTAATCTCGAAATAGCGCGCATCAACCAGGCGCCGTGCAAAGGTGAGGTATCCCTAGAGGGAAGAAGCAGTGTCCGGTTGTTGGTATCTCGTATGCATTTGCCCAAGTGCGAACATATGGGGAGGGTGGGAAACATTAAAGCGGCAGTGCAGTAGTGTGCGTGCGGCAGGCTCAAAAGTCTGCAGGATCAGATGCGACAGTGAGACAATCCGTAGATCGTACGTAAGGGGACGAGGGCAGCCTAGAGTGATCAATGAAGTTGAATAAATCGTTGAATGGACAAAAAAATCGTTAAAAACGAAAGTTGCAGATGAGCAGTGCGGGGTACGCGGGCGGAGGTAATTATATCGAGCAGAGGTGTCGACAGATCTGAGGGGATTTTGCGAATGTGGCAAGTGCAAGATATCCGAAGCATACGGGAAGTGCACGTGTAGCAGTGCTCTGTTGCCTTTTCCGTCACAACTCCTCAGGCCTCATGTTCTCCTCATGTCCGTCAGTCACTTAGTAGTGCCTTGGATTTTTATAAATTAAAATTGTAGAATCTCCGTTTGATCTCCATTGCACACAGCATTCTATTACATTTATAATGGCCAGTCTAAGAAACACCTCTGGTGCATCAGACTACAACTGCCCTCGAACACATGCAACCGGAGATGGACGCGCAACCAGGCTCTAGTCAGCCTATGCTTCTTGGCGCGTTTTCTCCTTCTAATACGACTAACTTTCCTGCACGGCATCGTCCCAGTTCTCCTCGTCCGGCAACGCGACATCGTCAACATCCATATATGCCAACACATGAGAAGGAGCCATCGGCCCAGAGGTTGCCTACCCGCCAGAGGAGGGAGCATTGGCAAGGTACCAAAATAATACTCGTACGATCAGTCATAATTAATATTCGTCAAAGGTCTCCAAACCATACCACCTAATGACACACTTGAAGGCAAACTAGCGCATTCTAGTACTACAACGGCCTCTGCTGCTGGTTCAGCAGGTGTCCAGCAGGCCAGGGGAACTTCCCAGCAACCCCAGCCACAGTCAGCCAGTTCCGCTCTAAGTTTAGGAATGAACCCTGGAGTTAGCGCTTGTTTGACCGCAGATCGGCGAAGCGCCAATCGTGTGGCTCCGGATGAGCACCGGGTGCCAACTACTGGTATCAGCGTGGTTCCAGCACCACAGGGACCATACAAGATGCCCAACGGGATTCCACACCCGCAACTGACTGAGAAGAAGTCAACGATACAGTCAGGACCTATTCTACCGCCAACTCAGGAGCAGCTCGCACACGCAAATGACGTGATCAAGAATCTGAAACAAGTTTACTCAGCAAGTGGGTCGTCCTGTCATATATTGTCCCCGCAGATGCTTATCCGTTGCGCAGAACTACCGACGATGCAACTGCACGCATTGTCAGACGACCACCGAATGGAGTACAACAGGCTACTAGAGCAGGTTCACAAGATGGCTCAGGACCTCGATGTCAAGCTACCAATGTACTGGATTGTTTTGAGATCGGATAATATGATCCGCAATCTCGTCGCAATCGTGAGTGTCCTTCGTGCGTGTGTGCATGCATTTTGTTACGCCAAACGTGTCCTCTTTCCAGGTATCATTGGTGGCACATCAAAGGGCTAGTCGTTTGACAGAGTCACACCTGGTCATAATCGATCTCTCCGCATTAAAGAGTATGCATAGTTTACTACAGAAGGCTATCGTGCAATTCGAACAAAGGCATCAGACGATGGAAGCCGCCGTCACGCCGCAACAAATGGGTGATGAAGTTCTTGGCCTTCTCTTAAATCGACCATCCTCCCCACCTACTGCGCTCAACGTCACATCCACTCAGCCTATTCCCCTGATCCCCATCCCAGACTTAACTGGACTCATCACCCGATGCAGCAAAGACCCCGTTTCTGGCGGTACATACGGAAATATCTACAAATGTATATACCATGGGCCAGAGGGCGATGTAGACGTTCGTGCATATATTGCAGTCTTTCTATGTTCACTAACATCTCACTCTCCCGCAGGTCGCCGTCAAAGCAATTCGACCGCACTTCTTCACTGCTGAGGTGATGTTCTGTGGCATGGAACATGACAGATTTGACTTACTTTTCTTAGGTATTTCGGAAAGAGCTCGGAATTTGGAAGAGGTTGCAACATTCTAATATCTTGAAGTTCATTGGTACTACTTCGGATTTTGGCCCCTCTGTAGCTCTTGTTGCTCCGTGGATACTCAACGGCACTCTAACGTCGTTCCTCAACGAGCAAAACGAGACCCTCACGCCGCATGACCGTCTTCTTCTGGTGAGACTTTCAAGGACCTTTCTGGTTTGTGCAATCGAGCTCATCGTTTCGTACCCAAGCTCCGCGACGTAGCCGCTGGCCTCAAATATCGTGAGTGAACACAGGCATCCGCATAGCTGAAATTAATAACTCGCTCAGTTCATACATTTCGCGTCACTATAGACGGACACACACACCCCAACCCAGTCGTCCACGGAGACCTCACCGGTGTAAGGTCCTTCATCTGTTCTAATCCTTGCATACTAACGTGCGACTACAAGACCAACGTCCTTATCGGTAGCGATAACACTGCATATCTTGCAGACTTTGGGCTATCAGGAACCTTGACTAAATTGCCCGGGATGACGTACCTCGCGAAGATGAGCTGTCGTCCAGGAGCAGTGAGGTGGTCAGCTCCTGAACTTCTATCTGAGGAAGAATCAGGCTCTGCAATCACTGCTCAGAGTGACATCTACTCCTTTGGTAGTATCATACTTCAAGTGAGTCGTTCCCTTTTGCTAATGCAGCTTGCTGAGTTGTCTTGCAGGTCCTGACGGGAAAAGTACCCTGGTCACACTTGAGCCGTGAAGCCGCGATCTTGGGGAAAGTGATCATTGAGGGGGAAATACATCCTCGTCCAGACGATGATCGTGTTACCGACCAGCGATGGAATTTCATGACCCGTTGCTGGTCCAAGACGCCCATCGATCGGCCTTCTGCCAAGGAAGCACTTCAATTTATTGAAAGCGAACTGGCTTTGTACGATTGATGTAATTTAATATCCAGTACCGTGTTGTGATATGTACCACATGTACATACAGTGGATCTGTTGGTGCAGATTGGCGTCATCGTTGTACGCGCGGTTTCGATATTTTCCGCCCCCACGTCGATGATCTCTATACCCTCGTCATCGCTGCAGTAGACCTCGGTCCGGTATTCACAGCATCCTATCATCCGCGTCCACTCCTAGCCTGTTATCAGAGCGCAGAGGGTGTAGTGTTGTCTGTCTCGTTCGATAATGAGGAGTGGTTTGCGAGCGAGAAATTCGAATGCGTGGATCCGGAGGAAGATTCCTGTGTTCCAGAGGACGAAGATGAAGAGGTACTCTTATCCGATTGGGCTTAAGTATGAGTGCCCGGATGCCAAATATTTCGAAGCAGACCTCCTTCTGGTTCGTCTAGGACCCCTAGATCTGAATTACTTGTGTGCCTCTCTGTCGCGTCAGGCAGGGTAAGTGGGTGACTTGGTTTACTATTACTAGAGACAGAAGGTAGTTTCGACCTCCCACTAGAACTAGGATCTGGTTGTGGAAGACAATAACCCCTGCAGTAATTGAACTCGGTTTTGGAATACTTGCTTTCAAAGTCGAGGCTGAATCAATGGACACTTTGACGAATTGACTTACGCCTCGCCGTCTCAACTTTCTCGCAACGGATCACCAGCGAATAGGACACAGTCACATACCCCTTCTTTCAACATCCTTACCTCATCCTCCAGCATCCTATAATGCGTTCTCTATCCCTTCCGCTCACTAAGTGGATGTACTATTTGGCCCCATCCCGCGTCGTGCAGCGTCAAGATGTTTTTCTTCATACTGGATGCGATTATGGCCAAATCATCATCCTCGTCTGCACGATCATCGACTGCGCTTTCTTTCCCCTCTCGCGAAACGGTGAATGTGGATTTTCCGGTATGGTGTTTGGACTTTCTGGATTTACAGGATAGATGTATTGAAGAATTTGTGATGCAATTCGAGAGGCTGGATACAAGACTCACCACTAGCCATTCGTTAAATTTGCCCCCGACTTTGCCTGCTTCCCATCTGAACTATTTCTTCCGATCTTCCGATCTTTCGTCTTCTCGATTCATTTCTCGCCACCACCTCGACGCTTCCACTAGCCTCTCTCCACTGCTCGATGATACTTCCATCATAACCTCTTCGTTGCCTTCCTCGCTCCTCCTTCTCTCCGTGTTCCCATTTGGATGGACCAGATGTCCACGATTAGATTTCAATTCGGTTCAAGAGTCAGGAAGTCAAAAACAGAGAAAACGGAACACACCTCAGCTTCACCTGTAGCATTGATCACGAACTCGCCAATCTCTTGTGAGACAACAATGAACTAGGATTCCTGACTCGCTGCGCCTGGGTCCTGGATCGTGGCGATTAGGATGGGTCATAGCAATGATAGCATGCGTATTGTTTTTGTTGTGGGACATATTTGATTTAACCTCTCGCGATACCAGCATTATGGCGCACTAGAACGGATGAAAGTCACGCCAGGGATAAAGACGAGGGCGGGGTTAAGTTGAAATGTACTTACTTATATGTAGTCTCCACGAAGTTAATATCTCTGTCGAGGAGTGCTTCTGCGCTCGCGCTTTAAACTTGATACCAAAATCCAGACTGAACGGATGGCGAGTGTGTCGAGCGTTGCAAATACCGTGTTGAGTTGCTTGACCGTATCTAAGCACTCTCCTTTTCCAAAATATATTGCCAGTCAATTGCAAGTACTTTGATGAAACAGTAAACACAGATATATCATATAATATTCGCTCGATAGTATTGAGCGAGCTCGCTATCAATAAATTGAAGTATTTCCTTGGCAGAAGGCCGATCGGTGGGTGTCTCAGACCAGCAACGGGCCATAAAATTCCAGTAACGGTCAATCACACAATGGGGACGAGGATGTATTTCCCCTATAGACACTTTCGACCAGATTGCGAAATCATTTTTCAAGTGACGCCACGGGATATCTCCTGTCAAGACCTGCAGGATGAGTTAGCAAGCTGCGTTAGCAAAAGCAAACAACGTACTTGAAGCATGATGCAACCAAAGGAGTAGATGTCGCTCTGAGTGGTGACTGCAGAAGCTGATTCATCCACAGTAAGAAGTTCACGAGCTGCCCATCTCACTGCACCTGGATGATCGCTCATCCTCATGAGGTACGTCATGCCGGGCGATTTTGTTAAAGCTCCCGACATGCCAAAGTCTGCAAGGTATGCAGTGTTATCACTACCGATGAGGACATTATTCTGGCAGTCGATCATTAGTATGAAGGATTGGAATGAATGAGGGACATTACACCACTGAGGTCTCCATGGACAACTGTATTAAAGTATGTCTGTCCGTTAACAGTGAAGCGAAACGTATGAACTGAGGTAGAAAGTTATTTATGCTTGTTATGTGGAATGCCCGCGTTCACTCACGATAGTCGAGGCCAGCAGCGACGCCACGGAGCTTGGGCACGAAATGATGAGCTCGCGTACGCAAACTAGAAACAAATCTAAAGTTCTCACCAGAAGCAGACGATCACGCGGTGTGAGGGTGTCGTTGTTCTTAAGGAACGACGTCAGAGTGTTGTTGACTATCCATGGAGCAACTAGAGCCACATAGGGTCCAAAGTCTCCAGTAGTACCCATGAACTTCAATATATTAGGATGTTCCAACCTCTTCCAAATCCCGAGCTCTCTCCGGAATACCAACATTATTGCAGTATCGAGGAATTGCGGTCGAATTGCTTTGACGGCGACCTGCAGGTGAGTGATACGTCAGTAGCATGGAAATTTTGTAAAATCTGCACAAACCATTACATAGCCCTCTGGTGTGCGGTATACGCATTTGTAAATATTTCCATAGGTACCGCCGGATACAGGGTCTTGGCTGCATCGGGTGAGGTGTCCAGTGAAGTCTGGTATGCTAATTGGGGGGATAGACTGGGTGGAGGGAATGATGTTTGGAGCGGTAGGTGGGGGAGATGGTCGATTTATGACAACACCAGCAAGTCCATCATCCATTTGTTGGAGTGCGACGACAGCTTCCATCGTCTGATGCCTGAAGTGCTCGGCAGCATATTGCAGTAAGCTATACATGCTCTTTAGAGCGGAGGGATCGATTATGACCAGGTTCGACCTTCTCGAATAACTGGCCCTTTGATGTGCCACCAATGATACCTGGAAAGAAGACAAGCTCAACACGACAAAACGTCCGCACGCACGAAAGGCACTCACGATTGCGACGAGGTTGCGGATCATATTGTCCGATCTTAACACAATCCAGTATAATGGTAGTTTGACATCGAGGTCCTGAGTCATCTTCTGAAGCTGCTGTAGTAGCTGGTAGTACTCCATTCGCTGGTCGTCTGACAATTTGTGGTGTGGCATCGTCGGCAGTTCTGCACAAAGGATAAGAATCTGCGGCGAGCACGAACGGAACAACCTACTTGTTGAGTAAGCGTGTTTCAGATTCTGGATCACGTCCTCTGCGTGTGCGAGCTGTTCCCGAGTTGGCGGTAGAATGGCGGGTTTGGTCCCACCCATCTGCGGGGGTTGTGTCCCATTTGGCATCACGGATAGACGCGCTTGTGGTGCGGGAAACATGCTGGGACTAGTAGTCGGCACTGAGTTCGGGAAGGCTCCTTGGAGTGCGTTGGGCATCTCCAGCTGCTCATCCGGGGATACAAGATTGACAAATCGCAGATCTGCGGTCGAAGCAGCGCTATCTCCAGGGTTCGTTCCTAAATTGGAGTGGAACTGACTGACTGCGGAAAGCGTTGCTGGGATGCTTCGCCGCGCTGCAGAGCTCGACCAGCAGTAGTGGGCACTCTATGACCAGAATGTATGTAAATAGGAAGTTTCACAATACGTCGGCATGACTCACGGACGCTCCAGGTATCTCTGTTCTGGGGGAATAGGCAGATTCTGGGCCGACGGCTCCCTCCCAGGTGTCAGGGATAGATTTTGATGATGTTGCACCGCCGGACGGAGATAACCATGAGGATGCCATGCTGCAAAATTCGGCGTAGTAGAAGAAGATGGTTCCCTCCCAGGTATCGAGTATCGATTTTGATGAAGTTGCGTCGCTGGACGAGGGGAAGCGTGAGGCCATGGAGTCGTAATCGAAGAAGAAACTGTTTCCGTAGGGGAAGTCTGATTGGAACCTGGTGGCGCTTGCATTTCCCGATGTGCGTACGACGACAGTTGTGGTAAGTGTTGCTGACTGTCACGCACTCAAATTGGCAATTATAATGTACGTGACAGTACGTACGAGGCTGTGTGCACTGCAGCGGTGGATGTTGTATTACGTAGAGATTCCGATCTATAACATCCTCGCTCTAGCAGCACCACTCACAAATTTTGGCATACACGCGTCTTCCCTCCCGCACTCGCGGACGGACCTGGTCCGCGATAGCCTGTCAGTAACAGCATTCTCAGACTACACGGTCGTCATACGCACCAGTAACAGCACCATTCTCAGACTGATTAGAACTTCATGGACATGGTGTATCATCGAACGGACAGGTCCATCAGGCAGGCCGTAGCAAACCGTGCCCATGACGATGGCTTGGAATATTTTGGGACTTGAGATCAACACGTTATTCTGGCACGAGCACAACATTGGCACTCACAAAAATTGAACCAATTGGGAGGTGATATTATTGGCCTTTAAATTGATTATCTGAACGTGGCAGTTTAACCATTATCGTCCCTGCAGCTTCACGTGGGAGTACCGAGGGAAAGCAAATCGAACGCTTACACTGTGCTTGTACTTACCACAGCCAACCAAAGCGACATGGGTATGACACTACTGTAACAAGTCAATGAAAGATTGAACGGGGTATCTTCTGGACTTGAATAAATTCTGGACGGTGAAGTCGCGAGACAAACGTTGAGCCCTACGCATCGGAAAACCAATGAAATGATCAAGAAGGATATCGATGCTTGCAGTGCTAGCTATGGTACATGACGAAGATCGACGAAAAAGGAAAACGATACGTTTCTTGCACCGTGACAGACACCTTGACCGTGACAACATTGTTACGAATAGCTAACGTAATGATGTTGCGTATACCCTTTGCTGATACTTTGGTCGATTCGAGGCATGACCGCACCGCTTCTTTCTCCTTCGGCTTCTCGGACGATTGCATACAGCCCCCCCGACCCAATGTCCCCCTGGAGCCCAGTAAGTGTCCAAGGCGGCGGGGGTGTGAGCTTTGTTTGCCTCTCAGTTCTTGATCTAGTAAATATCCGCGTGCCCACTTGCAAAGAAGGAACGACTGTCTTCCTTCGTTTAGGGTCTGACTACGGGAGACTAGCGTGCCCGCGTCGGCCCCTCTCACCCGACATTTCGTATGCCAACTGCAGACTCCGCTACTCGGCTTCGTTATTCTTGCCTCCTCTCGCTCCTCGCAACCACCACTATGTTTCCTCCGCCCGTTTTTATATGTGGCGGCTTTTTAGTCATATGTGTGAGTTTCCTTTCTTCTGTAGTCCTATTGACATCATGACATTCATTTGTTTTATTCGTTCGGAGTTGGTGCGCAATGATATTAACTCTCATAAAGCCCAGCTGTGGTCGCTCTGCAACTATACGGCGTCATCAATCAATATTAATCAAGATGGAACTGTCGTCATTTGTGTTTGTGGTCCTGCAGCTGAATGTGTTCCGGCTGCACTTATTCCTTCGACGTATTCCAGGATAATGTCATTCTACAACAATCACGAGGCTATAACTGTTGCTCTACCATGCCTTGTGGCTAGCACTGTCTCGTTCTCGGTGCCTGTCGTGGACGTGCTTAATAGTACAAGGGAGTACATTCAGCTCGCATGTGACTTACCGTCCAGACATTTCGTTGCCCTAGTAAACTTGGCACGCAAAGCTTGCTCTGGAACACCATTTTTCCAATGGTCGTGAGGAGACTGCAATCTTCGATATCGGACGATACCCTTTTGGTCGGCATACCATTGTTATAATTGTCATACTGAGCGTCATATTGGTTGGCTGCGCTAGAAGATGGCCAGACACACTGCTCTTGTCAGCTCAGCTTGCTAACGCTCGGTATCACAGCAACGTGCCATGAGCCGAAGTAATGATTTTTGTTGAGCAAAATGTACCCCGGATTGGTGAAGAGTATTGCATTGGAAAGCTGTATGGCATGAAATACATAACCAATTGAGATTAAACAATACTGAACCTACGCGCAGCACTAAAGCATTCGGAGGTGTGTAACTGCTGGCATTGTTGATTTGATGGGTTTTTCGTGTTACCTTGACGTTCATTCTGTCCTTTGTTGACGTTCGTTTTTATTGTTCTATTGAGTCGTCGAAGTAATTTAATACCTAAGCTGTAAATAGAGGGTCAAATATACGTTCTTAACTCACCAGGATTGGAAATTCATGACTTTCAAGTTTCAACGTCGCACAACTTGCAACGTTAACTACTTACATATCCAAATGGTGGATACAGTACTTGGCTTGCGAGGTGTTGAAAATCACCCGCGAATAGGCGGTCTGATGTCAAATCACCTAGCAACCGGTTTAGCAGGTGAAACGGACAATTCACCTACCCACCTGGTGATCAGTATTAACCTCCTTGTTTCATAGTGGTACGTACTGCAATGAATTTACACAAGTGGCTCAATGAAGTCCAACGTAAGGACTTTTAATTGTAAGTTGATTATAAGTAATAGTGACCTTGTGGTACAAGGTAACATTACGCTGTCACGTGAGGTGGGCCGATTGACTTATCTTCACTATCAAAACCTCGCAAATCTTCCAACTCCCCTCCCGCACCCGCGGACTCAAAATATCAACGCACTGATCGGGAGATGGAGGCGCAACGAGGCTCTATTCAGGTCACGTGTTGTCATTCCAGTACGACCAACTTTGCTACACGGCATCGTTCTCCCCGTCCGGTGACACAGCATCATCAAAATCCTTCCCTGGTACCTGGGACGGAACCATCGGCACAGAAGCCGCCGACCATCTCAGAACTGAGATACCCGGGGCGTCTGTGAGTTATGTCGTCATATTGTTCAAGCTTCCTGTTTATATGCATTCTGGTCATAGAATGCCCACTACTGCTGGTCGAGCTCTGCAGCGCGGCGGAGCATCCCAGCAACGCTTCGCGCAGTCAGCCTGTCCCACTCCAATTTTTGGAATGAACACTGGAGATAGCGCTGCTTCGACCGCAGACCTGCGGTATGCCAATCCAGTGTCCCTGGATGAGCGGCTGGGTATTCCCAACGCGCCTCAAGGAGGCTTTTCGAACACAGTGCCGACTAGTCCCAGCATGTTTCCCGCACCACAGGCGCATCTATCCGTGATGCCAAATGGGACGCAACCCCCGCAAATGGGTGGGACGAATCCCGTCATCCAGCCACGACCCATTCTACCGCCAACTCAGGAGCAGCTCGCACACGCAGAGAACGTGATCCAGAATCTGAAACACGCCTACTCAGCAAGTGGGTCGTCCTCTTCGTACGTGCTCGCCGTGGGTTCTAATGTTGTTTGCAGAGCTGCCGACGATGCAACTACACGAATTGTCAGACGGCCGGCGAACGGAGTACAGCAGGCTACTACAGCAGCTTCACGAGATGACTCAGGACCTCGATGTCAAACTACCAATATACTGGATTGTATTGAGATCGGATAGTATGATCCGCAATCTCGTCGCAATCGTGAGTGCCTTTCGTGCGTGCGCACATTTTGTCGTGTTAAGCTTGTCTTCTTTCCAGGTCTCATTGGTGGCACATCAAAGGGCCAGTTATTCGAGAAGGTCGAACCTGGTCATAATTGACCCCTCTGCTCTCAAGAGCATGCACAACTTACTACAAAGTGCTATCGAACGCTTCAGACATCAGACGATGGAAGCTGCTGTCGCACCGCAACAAATGGGTGGTGGACTTGCTGATCGACCATTCTCCCCACCTTCCGCTCCAAACGACATTCCCTCCACTCTGTCTATCCCTCCAATTCTCATCCCAGACTTAACTGGACGTATCACCCGATGCAGCCAAGACCCCGTCTCTGGCGGTACATACGGAAATATTTACAAATGTATGTACCACGGACCAGATGGCGATGTACAGGTTCGCGTGGATGTTACAGTTCCCCGACGTTTATCGACGTATCACTCACCCACAGGTCGCCGTCAAAGCAATTCGACTGCAATTCTTCAATACGGAGGTAATGTTTGCATTTCGGAGAGAGCTCGGGGTTTGGAAGAGATTGCATCATTCTAATATCTTGAAGTTCATGGGTATTGTTAGAGATTTTGGCTCCTCTGTGGCTCTGGTTGCTCCGTGGATAGTCAACGACACTCTGACGTCGTTCCTCAAGTGGAACAATGGGACCCTCACGCTACGTGATCGTCTGCTTCTGGTGAGAACTTCGAGGACTTTCCCGGTTTGCGCCCTGGAGCTCATCGTTTCGTACCCAAGCTCCGTGACGTAGCCGCTGGCCTCAACTATCGTGAGTGAACGCAGGCATTCACATAACAAGAATTAATGACTGTCTCCCTCAGTTCATACATTTAGCTTCAATGTGAACGGACAAACGTACTCTCATCCAGTCGTCCATGGAGACCTCACTGGTGTAAGGTTCCTCGTTTGTTCCAATTCCTCATACTAATAATTGATTGAAAGACCAACGTCCTTATCGGTAATGATGGAACTGCATACCTTGCAGACTTTGGTCTTTCCGGAACTTTAACACAATTGCTCGGCGTGACATCCCTCGCGAAGATGAGCTGTCATTCAAGAGCTATGAGGTGGACAGCTCCTGAAGTTCTTTCAGTGGAGGAATCAGCCTCGGCACTCACTACTCAAAGCGATATCTACTCCTTTGGTTGCATAATGCTTCAAGTACGTTGTTTGCTTTTGCTATCGCAGCTTATTACAGCTTACTAATTCGTCTTGCAGATCTTGACGGGAAACGTTCCTTGGCGTCACTTGAAAAATGATTTCGCAATTTGGTCGAAAGTGACTGCAGGGGAAATACATCCTCATCCCCATGGTGTTATTGACCCGCACTGGGATTTTGTGACCCGTTGCTGGTCTAAGACACCTACCGATCGACCTTCTGCCAAGGAAGTACTCCAATTTATTGACAGCGAGCTTGGTACGATTGCGCGAATGGTGTAACTTGCTGTCGGAAGTCGGAGGTCCCCCTGGACCTTCGAATGCAACGTCATATCATCGGTCTGATTGGGAGCTGAGAGCGCCATCCTGGCCACTAGATCCATTGTACATGTCATATTTGTCCGCTATGGTACTGGGTATATGCAATACCTTATGGCTGTTACCTCGGTTCAAGCGCCATTGACAACATTTTACCTTGCGCGATTCCTCCACGCTCGTTATTGGAGCACAAGGAGTGTACTGATATTTGTTGTTCGATGGCTCGCAAGCGATACACCTGCTAGGGGGGGAAATAGTAGAACTGGAGGAAAATTAAGTGTTCTAGAGGACGAAGAAGCAAGCGCTCGCGTCAAATCGAGCTTGAGCACGGATGACCGAACCCCGTTTCGAAGCAGACCAACCTTCCGACTCGCATAGTGCATCTGCTTTGTGCTGGTTATGCTTGACGAGGGGGAAGTAAGTGGATGAGGGTTTCGGCGCGGTTGAAGTAGAGGTTGGTTTGGGATTACTTGAGGCGGAAGGTGATTTTGACGTGGACCGCCGGTTTACTCCCAATAGAATTAGAAACCAGGTTCGAGGAGTCGATCAAGCCTGGAGCAAGGTCTGAAGCAGTTAGCACCCATCGACTTACGCTTCGCTGTCTCCACCCTTGCGTTCCAGTAGACAGGTCGGTCACCCACGAATCGATCGCTAACACTTCGATTCAAGGACAATGTAAGCACGCTGGCTTACCTGAGTTCCCATACTCAGTATATATACTGTCGCTGATACTGAAAGCTAAGCTTGTATTCTACCTTTTGGTGTAACGGTTATGCGCGTGCGGCAGTCTGACCTACTTACAGACAAGGGCGAAGACGAACTTTCTGCTGCGGAAATGATTATCACGCCGTAAAAGAGAAATGTGTTATGTATATACAGAAAGATCTCTCTCTGATCTGAGACCACCTCCGAGTCTTAAGTTATCTCTCTCTTCATGTCCAACAAGCTACTTACAGATGCGTTCCAAAGACAGAATCTACAGTTTCCCATTGCGAATAGGCATTCATGCCAACCTTCATGCGCTTCATGGTTGCCTTCAACGCTTCGTCCTGCACGATAACGATACCGACGCAGAGCATCGATATTCCTGACCTGAGGCTGGATGAATTATGAACAATGTTGTTCGGCTGACATGCTGCGACGATATGTGCATTTCCGCCGAACGATGATAAGCTTTAATAAACAGAAGCGCACCCAGTTCTACCCAAATCGGCACAAAGGTGAGGTGAGGGGAGAAGCAGACACGTACTACATAGTACAAAGCAGTGTCCAGTGGTCGGGATCCCATAAAACGGCAGTGCAAGTGCGCATGCGGTGAGAACAGTACGTACGTAAGAGGACCCAATGAAGTTGAAAGCAGGCGAATAGGAAGAAAATTCTTCAAGAGCGAAAGTTACGGACGCAGCGCGGGGCACGGGCGGATGAGAATATGATGGCGTTAATATTACGAGCGGAGGTGTCGAAAAGGGCGTTTGCGAGTGCGGGAGAGGGTAATCGACAGGCAAGGACAGATGGCTGTGCTAGCGAAGTTCGCTACCCAAAGTGTGTCATCGTGTGACTGTCCGATTAACTGCCTAATTTCCGGTAATTCTTTCATGTCCTGAGGGCGCCTCTCAGAGGGCCAATATATTTCTACATGGAACTTCCAGAAGTTCCACTGGTACACAGTCACACAGCAATGTAGTAAGTACTCTTACGTAGATAAGTCGGTCAGCCTATCTGCCGTAGCGCAATGTGATATAAATTGTCCAGCGGTCTCGGGCAACCGTTTAACAACTGATACTGCTACTCATTACATCCTGCGGGTCGTAGATGCCAGACCAAACACTGGTCATTTGCGTCCGGCCACGCTTTATTCTTTAGATACAACCTACTTTGGTACACGGTCCCGTCCAGCGACAGAGCGTCGTCTCCATCCATACCTTGAAATGGCCCAGAATGAGCGTACCCTCCCAGAACTGATGCAGAGGAGGAAGCATACCGATGATATTATTGGAGGAAACCAAGCACATCTGTGAGTTGTATCAACGTGTTGTGCAAGCTTCCTATTTACACGCATTCCAGTAATACAGTGGCCTCTGCTGCTGGTTCAGCAGGTGTTATACAGGGTGGTGGAGTCTCGTCCCAGCAACTCTGGCTGCAGTCAGGCTGTGCCACCCCAATTCTTGGAATGAATCCTGGTGTCAGCGCTCCTTCGATCGGAGATCGGCCAAGCGCCAATCCTGTGTTCCCGTATGAGCAGCTGGGTCTGCACAGCGCGTCCCAGGGAACTTTCCCGAACCGGGTACCAACTGCTGGTATCAGTATGGTTCCCGTACCACAGGGACCGTCATCGTCATCCGTGATGCCGAACGGGATGCAACCCCCGCAGTTAACTGAGAAGAAACAAACCATCCAATCGCGACCCATTCTACCGCTAACTCAGGCGCAGCTCGCACACGCAGAGGACATGATCCAGAATCTGAAGTACGCTTACTCCGCAAGTGGGTCGTCTTCTTCATACGTGTTCGCCGCAGATTCTAATCTTGTATGCAGAACTCCCGACGATGCAACTACACGAATTGTCAGACGGCCGGCGAACGGAGTACAGCAGGCTATTACAGCAGCTTCACGAGATGACTCAGGACCTCGATGTCAGACTACCACTGTACTGGATTGTTTTGAGATCGGATAATATGATCCGCAACCTCGTCGCAATCGTGAGTGGCCTGACTACACGCGTGCGTGTATGTCCTCGTGCTAAGCCCGTCTTCTTTCCAGATCTCATTGGTGGCATATCAAATGGCCAGTTATTTGACAGTGTCAAATCTGGTCATAATTGATCCCTCCGCTCTAAAGAGCATGCGTAGCTTACTACACAGTGTTATCGAACACTTCAGGCATCAGACGATGGAAGCTGCCGTTGCACCGTAACAAATGGGTGATGGACTTGCTGGTGCTGTCATAAATCGACTATCCTCCCCATCTTCTACTCCCGACATCATTCCCTCCGCTCAGTCTATCCCTCCATTTCTCATCCCAGACTTAACTGGACGTATCACCCGATGCAGCCAAGACCCCGTCTCTGGCGGTACATACGGAAATATCTACAAATGTATTTACCACGGGCCAGATGGCGATGTAGAGGTTCGCGTGGATGTTACAGTTCACCGACGTTTACTGACGTATCACTCACCCACAGGTCGCCGTTAAAGCAATGCGACCGCATTTCTTAAATACTGAAGTGATCTTCGTATTTTGGAGAGAGCTCGGGATTTGGAAGAGGTTGCAACATTTCAATATCTTGAAGCTCATGGGTACTACTAGAGGCTTTGGTTCCTCCGTGGCACTGGTTGCTCCGTGGATAGACAACGGCACCCTGACGTCATTCCTCCAGGGGAACAACGGGACCCTCACGCTACGTGATCGTTTGCTTCTGGTGAGAATTTCAAGGACTTTCCCGGTTTGCACCATCGAACTCATTGTTTCGTGCCTAAGCTCTATGACATAGCTGCTGGTGTGGACTATCGTGAGTGAACATAGGCATGCACATAGCAAGAATTAATAACTGTCTCCCTCAGTCCATACATTTAGCTTTGCTGTAGACGGACGCATGTACTTTAATCCAGTCGTCCACGGAGACCTCACTGGTGTAGGTATCTCATTTGTTGCAATGTCTCATACTAATGATTGACTGCCAGAACAATGTCCTGATCGGTAGCGATCGAACCGCATATGTTGCAGACTTTGGCCTTTCCGGAACTTTAACAAAATTCCCTGGCATGACGTACCTCGCGTACGTGAGCCGTCATCCAGGAGCAGTGAGATGGGCGGCCCCTGAACTTCTTTCTGCGGAAGAGCCCGCCTCTGTAATCACCCCTCAGAGCGACATGTATTCCTTTGGTAGCATTATGCTTCAAGTAAGTCGTCTCCTTTTCCCTTTTGCTAGCAACACAGCTCACTACGTACTTCGTGCAGGTTCTGACGGGAGTGGTCCCTTGGCATCACTTGAAAAATGATTTCTTAATCTGGTCGAAAGTGACTGCAGGGGACGTACATCCTCGTCCAGAAGACGTTTATGTCACCGACGAGCACTGGAGTTTTATGACCCGTTGTTGGTCTATGACACCCGTTGATCGGCCTTCTGCCAAGGAGGCACTTCAATTTCTTGAAAGCGCGCTCGCTCGGTACGCCTGAGCGAATGTTGTAATTTATTCGTTCATGTACGTACCCAATACTTACCGTAGTGGTCAAAGAACAAATGCATTGCATTACATGTACTATCTCTGGCCCGGTCTTTTCGATATTCGGGTAGTGACTCAACAACAACACAACATTTAAAAGGCGACAAGCTCTAGGTGAGCAAGCGCATTACATAGGAAAATGATTGATTTTCTACATAAGTTCATACGTTTAACTTCTCTGAAGACGGACGTACAGACTTAAACCCCGTCGTTCACGGAGACCTCACTGGTGTAAGGACCTTTGTTTGTTCCATCCCTCATATACCAATGATCAATCGCAGACAAATGTCCTCGTCGATAGACATAGAAAGCGGTACCTCGCAGATTTCGGCCTTTCCGGGTAGACTCGTAACTAGTCTGGATTACGTCTTTGAGATGTTAGGAACTCTAGTCAATTGACTTGTCCGTGGTTAGTATACGCCAGGCTGGTCACGAGCCTACTTTCCGAGACTTCAAAAACAGTTGACCGGCATGACGCACCTCGGAAATATGAGCTGTTATCCAGGAGCAGTGAGATGGGCACTGGGCAGCTCCTGAACTTCTTGCTGGGGAGGACTCAGCAGTCACTACTCAAAGCGATATTTACTCGTTTGGTAGCATCATGCTTCCAGCAAGTTGTCCCCCCTTGCTAGTGCAACCTACTAAGCCGTTCTACAGGTTTTGACCGGAAATGTGCCCTGGTGTCACTGAGGAGTACTGGAATTTTATCGCGTGGTGCTGGTCTATGCTCCCCAGCGACTGGCCCACTGCCGAAGAAGCGCTTCTTTTTGTTAATCGCGAGCTGATCTCGCTGCGATCGCGGGCGATCGACTGATTCACAATTTATTATTGCGTGTGCTCACCGGATCTGCGGATAATGTGCTACGCAGCGCCTACGCTATATGTACGGTTAGATCTGTTCGATGCTGACGGAACGCATGTCAGTACATACTCCCACAGACTACAGCTATTGTCTTCACGAAGTTGATGTGTCTCACAATAAGTACGTCTCTGTAGACTTGCTTGATTCAGACCGAAGCTAGCGCTGATCGCTCTCACTTTCCAGTGTATGTATTGCAAGCCAATGGCAAGTATATTAAATACTATAATAGTAAACAAGCGCATCATACTGATATGATATGGTATTCGCTCAATCCCAACGACCGAACTCGCGATCAACAATTAAAGTGCTTCCTTGGCATACTGATATGACGTGGTGTTCGCTCAATCCTAACGACTGAGCTCGCAATCAACAAATTGAAGTGCTTCCCTGGCAGAAGGCCGATCGGTGGGTGTCATAGACCAGCAACGGGTCATAAAATTCCAGTGACGGTCAGTGACACAATCGGGACGAGGATGTATTTCCCCTACAGTCACTTTCGACCAGATTGCAAAATCATTTTTCAAGTGACGCCAGGGAACATTTCCAGTCAAGACCTCCAGGACGAGTTAGCAAGCTGCGGTAGGCCACGCAAATAACGTACTTGAAGCATGATACTACCAAAGGAATATATATCGCTCTGAGTGGTGATTGCAGAACCTGATTCTTCCACTGAAAGAAGCTCGGGAGCTGCCCATCTCATTGCTCCTGGATGACAGCTCATCTTCGCGAGGGACGTCACGCCAAGCAATGGTGTTAGAGTTCCCGAAAGGCCAAAGTCTGCAAGATATGCAGTTCTATCACTACCGATGAGGACATTGCTCTGGTAGCCAATCATTAATACGAGGGATTGGAACATATGAGGGACCTTACACCAGTGAGTTCTCCGTGGGTAACTGTATTAAAGTACGTCTGTCCGTCTACAGTGAAGCTAAACGTATGAACTGAGGTAGAGAGTTAGTAGTTCTGGCTATATGAATGACTGTTCACTCACGATAGTCGAGGCCAGCGGCTATGTCACGGAGCTTGAACATGAAACAGTGAGCGCAAACCGGGAAAGTTCTTGAAGTTCTCACCAGAAGCAGACGATCACGCAGCGTGAGCGTATTGTTGTCGTTGAGGAACGACGTCAGAGTGTCATTGGCTATCCACGGAGCAACCAGTGCTACAGAGGAGCCAAAGCCTCTAGTAGTACCCATGAACTTCAAGATATTATGATGTCGCAACCTCTTCCAAATCCCGAGCTCTCTCTCAAATGCGAACATTATCCCGGTGTTGAAGAATTGCGGTCGAAATGCTTTGACAGCAACCTGTGGGTGATTGATGCGTCAGTAAATGTAGGGGAACTGTAACATCCACGCGAACCTGTACATCGCCGTCTGGCCCGTGGTACATACATCTGTAAATATTTCCGTATGTACCGCCGGCAACGGGATCTTGGCTGCATCGGGTGATGAGTCTAGTTAAGTCTGGGATGGGCATTTTGGGGATTGACTGAGTCAAGGGAATGTCATTCGGAGTGGTAGGTGGGGATGGTGGACTTAGGAGAAGACCAGTAAGTCCACCACCAATTGCTTGCGGCGTGACGACGGCATCCAGTATCTGACGTCTGTGTTCGAATTGCGCAATGACTTGTTGTAGTAAGTCATACATGCTCTGTAAAGCGGGTGGATCGATTATGACCCGGCGTGACTCTATTGAACAACTAGCCCTTTGATGCATTACTAATGACACCTGAAAGAAAAACATACTTAACGCGACAAACACGCAAGAAGGGCACTCACGATTGCGACGAGGTTGCGGATCATATTATCTGAACGCAACAAAATCAAGTACATTGGTAGCTTGGCATCAAGGTCCTGCGTCATCTCGTGAAGCTGCTGTAGTAGCTGGAAGTACTCAATTCGCTGGTCGTCTGATAATGAATGCAGTTGCATCGTCGGCAGTTCTGTCCAGAAGATAAGATCCTGCGGCGAGCATATATGAATGAAACGACGCACTTGCTGAGAAAACTCGTTTCAGATTCTGGATCACGTCCACTGCGTGTACGAGCTGCTCCTGAGTTGGCGGTAGCATGGGTCGCAACTGGATGGTGGGATTCGTCCCAGTCATTTGCGGAGATTGCATCCCGTTGGGCATCGCGGATGGATGCACCTGTGGTGCGGGAAACATGCTGGGACCAGTAGTCGACACCCATATCGGGAAGGCCCCTTGAGGTGTGCTGGGTGTACCCAGCCGCTCATTTAAGGACACATGATTGACATACCGGAGATCTGCGGTCGAAGGAGCGCTAGCTTCAGAGCTCGTTCCAAAAAGTGGAGTGGGACAGGCTGACTGCGGCCAAAGTTGCTGGGAAGCTCTGCTACGCAGCAGAGTTTGACGAGCAGCGGACATTCTATGACCAGAATGGATGTAAATAGGAAGCTTGCGTAATGCACTGGCATAGCTTACAGATCCCCCAAGCATCTCTGTTCTGGGAAGGTAGGCAGCTTCTTGGCCGATGGTTGCCTCCCAGGTATCAGTGAATGATGTTTCGCCCCCGGACGGGGAGAACCATAACAACGCTTTGTACCAACTTTAGCTTTAGTCGACGTGGAAGTGGCCGGACGTATAACCTGAATAAAGCCTGCTTGCGCCTCCATCTTCCGCCAAAGTGTGCACGACTGTCTGTAGGCGCCCAAGAGTGCGAGGGGAAGTGGATGAATGATGCGAGTCGTGATAGTAATGTTAAAGAGCGAGAACTAAGGTAGCGTGAGTCTGTAGGACCGCTAGTAAGTATCATGTATAGTATAATATGAATGGTATGCGCACCTCAGTCAATGGTAGAAAGACTGAGGTGCGAGTATAGCGTCTAGCCATCCTTAAAGAGAAAAGAGAAAATGGTCAGTAACTAGGGTGGATGACGTCCAGTGACACTGGCAGCTAAGGTACATAGAACTGGAACAGTTAGATATATTTATCTGGAACCGGCTCGGTGCTCTGACGGATCACCTCTCAACACTCCCACTCGTCAGAGCGCCTGGCAGGTCTTGACGACGTAGTCCCATGTTTTCCCGATGCTGGATCCCAGCTGGGCGAGGTAATGCCTTCGTTAGACTATCGGCAATCATCTCCGAGGTGGATTTGTACTGGAGTTCGATCTTGTTCGTGTCGACGAGGTTGCGGATGAGATGGTAGTGGACGCGAATATGTTTGGCTCTTTCATGGAATCTTGGATTCTTCGAGAGCGCAATACTGGACTGGTTGTCTCCATATAGGAGTGCGGGATCGTAGAGTTCGGGGTCAAGGCGGAAGTCGTGTAGAAGCTGGATTAGATATAATGCTTCGCGTGAAGCATTCGATAGACCTATATATTCGGCCTCCGTGGTCGAGGTAGCGACCACAGATTGCTTCTGAGACTTCCAACTAATGGGCCCTCCGAACAGTTGATAGACATAAGCGCTGGTGGACTTGCTATCGTCTTGATCTGCAGCATAGTCCGAATCCGAGTGTCCAACGAGTCCCTCGTTCGACGAGCCGAAGATGAGTACTAAATCCGTAGTTCCACGAATGTACCGGAGAAGATGTTTGAGTTGACGATGATGGTCGATACTGGGGTTCTCCATGTATCGGGAGAGGCATGAAACTGGGTAAGCGATGTCGGGGCGAGTGGTTCGCATAGCATAGTTGAGTTCACCGATAGTTCGGCGATATGGGATCGACGCAATGGCGTCCGCTTCTTCACTCGTTGGGGGACGTGTAGCCTTCTGCAAGGTTACTCCAGGTGTCATAGGTGTACTGACAGGATTGCACAGTGTCATG